AGTAGCTGGAGTGGGGGTTGAACAGAAGAGGGATGTGTGAGAACAGACTGGGGTGGGGGACGAGAGGAAGTAGGGACCCCCATGAGGAGCCATCTCAGCAGGCTGGGCAAGAGGTGGCAGTGGCTTATATAACACATCAGAAACCTTGCGTGGTGACTGGCAGGCAGTAAGGACTACATAATTGTAGCCATCGTGTGATTGTTTAAAACTGGAACTAGGCACATGTGGGTCTCAGCTGTGGCTTCAGCTCTTCGTGGCTGGATGTGGTGTTGCTCAGTCGCTCAGTCGTGTCCCACCCTTTGCAACCCCAGGGACTGTAGCACGCCAGGGCCCCCTGTGCCTCACCGTCTCCTGGAGTTTGCTCAAGCTCATGTCCATTGAATTGGTGATGCCATCCAGCCATCTCATCCTCTGTCACCTTCTCCTTCTGACCTCAGTCTTTCCCAGCATCAGGGTCTTTTTCCAATGAGTTGGCTGTTCTCATCAGGTGGCCAAAGTATTGGAGCTTCAGCTTCAGGATTAGTCCTTCCAATGAATATTCAGGGTTGATTTCCTTTAGGATGGACTGGTTTGATCTCCTTGTTGTCCAAGGGACTCTCAAGAGTCTTCTCCAACACCACAGTTCGAAAGCATCAATTCTTCAGTGCTCAGGTTTCTTTATGGTTCAACTCTCACATCTGTGCATGACTGCTGGAAAGACCTGACTAGACTGACCTTTGTCGGCAAAGTGATGTCTCTGCTTCTTAATATGCTGTCTAGGTTGGTCGTAACTTTCCTTCCGAGAAGCAGTTGTCTTCTAACTTCATGGCTGCAGTCACCATCTGCAGTGATTTTAGAGCCAAGAAGAGGAAATCTGTCACTGCTTTCACCTTTTCCTCTTTATTTGCCATGAAGTGATGGGATCAGATGACATGATCTTAGTTTTTTTAATATTGAGATTTAAGCCAGCTTTTTCACTCTCCTCTTTCACCCTCATCTAGAGGCTCTTTAGTTCCTCTTCGCTTTCTGCTGTTAGAGTGGTATCATCTGCATATCTGAGGTTGTTGATGTTTCTGTCAACAGTCTTGATTGCAGCTTATAACTCATCCATAACTGGATGACTGAGCAAATAATTTTTGGGGCGGAGAGGAAAGGAAAGATTTACTACTTGGGATTGTTCCTAAAATAGTGTTTCTGAGCAAATCATTTAACTCCACCCAGGCTTATTGTTGTAATCTGTAAAGTGGGTAGAACAGTAGTAGCATCCTGGGGCTGTCAAGAAGGTTTAACAGATAAGGTACAGGTGCAGAATTTTGGGCACAGGGTCTGGCTCATGGTAGGTTCAGTATTTTTTTTATAATTTCTAGTCAGCAACTGGAGAATAAAGGGATAATGGGTAAGAGCAGCTGGTACATTTGAGATACATGAGTAGACTTTGAGAGACTTTTTGGCTAGTGCCTGCAGCCGGACCTGGCAAACGGCAGCTTTGCAGGGTGGGCAGAGGGCTAAGCAAGAGTGGGGCGGGAATGAGTGCAAAGGGTGTCTTCTCTGTATTTATTCACGTGAAACGGCTGAGGCCCTACAGTGCGCCTGGCAGGGTTCCAGACTGGGTCCTGGGGGGAGCTGGTAACGCTAGTGATGACAGCACCAAGAGCCAGCACGAAGGACTTCCCTGACCTTCCAGTGGTTGGGACTGTGCACTTCCACTGCAGGGGGCAGGCATTCCATCCCTGGTGGGTGCACTAAGATCCCTCATGCTGGCAACCACAGAACAAACAAACAAAAGACCAGCGGCATTCACCAGGTAACGGTGGGGAGTCGTTAAGGCAACTGGCTGATGTGATGGGCTTCCCTTGCGGCTCAACTGGTAGAGAATCCGCCTGCAATGCAGGAGACCCCAGTTTGATTCCTGGGTCGGGAAGATCCCGTGGAGAAGGGGTAGGCTACCCACTCCAGTACCCCTGGGCTTCCCCGCTGGCTCAGACAGTAAAGAACCCACCTGCAATGTGGGAGACCCTGGTTTGATCCCTGGGTGGGGAAGAAGCCCCTGGAGGAGGGCATGGCAACCCGCCCCAGTGTTCTTGCCTGGACAATCCCTCGGACAGAGGAGCCTGGCGGGCTGCAGTGCACGGGGTCGCCTAGTTGGACATGACCGAGAGACTAAGCACAGCACAGCTGATGTGATAGTGAAATCCTGAAATCTCGGTGGCTTAGCACAACAGTTTATTTCTCACTCATGAGAAGTCCTGTTAAGTGGCTTTCTCTATGGTGACCCACAGACCCAGACCCCTTCCAGCTTGTGGCTCTAGCACTCTCTAGGAACCAAATGATATTTCCTTCTAGCTGGGGGACAGGGAAGGAGAGAAGTCCTCATGGGAGGTTTTTATGGGCCAGGTCTGAAGTGGCACACTTTAGTTCTGTCTTAATTCTGCTGTTGTTATTCAGTTGCTCAGTCGTGTCTGACTCTCTGTGACCCCATGGGCTGCAGCACGCCAGGCTTCCCTGTCCTTCATTATCTCCTGGAGCTTGCTCAAACTCATGTCCATCGAATAGGTGATGCCATCCGAGCATCTCATCCTCTGTCGTCCCCTTCTCCTCCTGCCTTCAATCATTCCCAACATCAGAGTCTTTTCTAATGAGTTGGCTCTTCGCATCAGGTGGCCAAAGTATTGGAGCATCAGCTTCAGCATCAGTCCTTCCAATAAATATTCAGGGTTGATTTCCTTTAGGATTGCCTGGTTTGATCTTGCAGTCCAAGGGACTCTCAAGAGTCTTCTCCAACACCACAGTTCTAAAGCATCAATAATTCTGCTAGTGAGAACTAGATTACATGGCAAGGGAGTCTGGGAAATAACTTCTGGCCATTTCCCATAGAAGAACTAGAAATGTTTTTTGGTGAACACATAGCAGTTCCTGTCACACCATATCCCGGTACACAGCTAAGCATGGATCATCTTATTTAAACCTCATGGTAAAAGCAGGCACTGTTATTATCCCATTTTACAGATAAAGAAACTGAGGCTCAGAGAGGCAAAGTCATTGGCCCGGGCTGATGGGGAGGCACAGCCAAATCCTGGCAGTCAGATGCTAAAGCTATACTACCCAGTCCTTTCTGGGTAATTGTTGTTTGAGAACTGGATGGACGCTCCAAACGTTAGAAAGTGCACATACACACAGGGTTTAGATATGGTTTCTTGGGCTCTGATAGAACCCAGAAGGGCTGACGGGGAGAACTCTGTGGGCAGGGCCAAGGGTTCTGGCATCTGACTCCCTTCTCCCATCCCCTAGGGCCCTGGCTGGGGAATAACTTAGTTCAGCTCACCAGGCGAGTCTGGGCCCCCTCTCTGCCCATCTGGGCAAGCTGGGCTGCGGAGCTCGGCCACAGAGCTTGTGGCCCCTCTCTGCTCTGGCTGTGGGTGTGCAGCCTGTCGGGGGAGTTCCTGAAGGCTGTGTCTGGAGGTGGAAAGATGGAGCCCCAGGTTTTTGTGGCGAGAGCTCCCTGCCTCTGAGTCTAGTTTTGCCTGAATCTGGCCTTGGTTGTCATGGCAACATTGAGGCACTTATTGTTTTGGCCCTGTGTGGTGGTTCCTGGTTTTCCATTCCTGATTTTCCATTTCCAGAGCAGATTTCCTAGTTGGGGGCAAGGGTTTCAGGCTCAGCTTGGACTCTTGTGCAGTTATACGGCACCTGCTGCATTCCTGGGTCTGACCTAGACAAGGTTGGCAGAGCCTTGGAGTGCAAATGCCCCTGCCTTGCCCTCAGGCCCTCTGGGAGGCTGCCTGGCTTAAGTGGAGAGTTTAGGGCTGCTTCCCCTTCCCTGCAGCGCGGCAGTTTGGATTAGGTGAGAGCCCCCAGCTCTCTGCGCCTGCTTTTCTCATCAGGAAATGGGTTGAGGTGAGAATTCAAAGTGATCACACGAATGTGACACAGCGTTAGAGTAGAGAGCACCCAGAGGCCAGGGGTCAAGAGTCAGCAGGAGCCCAGACGGGCGATGCCAGCGACGGCAGGAACAGCAGCCGCCTTGCATTGGCTGCTTGTGATGTGCCAGCCGTGGTCAGACCCTTACGCAGTGCAACCCATGTAATGCTCACGGTGACTCTGGTCGGTGCCGTCAGTTTCGCTAGAGAACTGAGCCTCGGTAACTCGATGGTCACACGGCCGACAAGGGGCAGAGCAGGACTCCGCTGTCGCCCTGATTCCGGAGCTGAGCCTACCCGCTGCACCGCACAGCCTCCTTGCCCCAGGGGAGGAGCAGTGGGAGGCTGGGGGTGGAGCTCGGAGCCCCAGGGCCCGGGTACAGCGACCCTATGGGTCGGATTTTCAAATGAAGGAAACCAGTTCACACGTTCACTCTAAGCCCGGCGCTCAGTCACATGCCCTTTGCCCCCAGACGACGCCCCGAGACGGGTGCCAGTGTTTGCACCTTGTGCGGGGAGACTGAGGCTCAGAGAGGCGGAGCCGCTTCCCCTGGGAGGGAGGGGTGGCGGGAGTTGGGGAAGTGGGATTCGGTTCGGTGCCTGCGCTGGGCAGTTCCGCAGCCCGCTCCTGATGTGAGAAGTCATCGGAGCGCCTTGTAAGCAAGCACATTTTCAGCAAAGCGTGTGACCCCTTTTCTGGGTCAGTAAAGATGATCTCGAAGACTGGCCTTTCCCGCCGCCTGGATGTGTGTGTGGACCCAGCAGCTGGAGAGGGTGTGCACGCGTGTGTTTTGGGGAGGGTCTTCTCCGCCACGCCCTCCCCCTCCCCACCCTTCCCTCCGTTTCCCACTCCTTCCTCCCCTTCTCCTCCACCTCCTCCCCTCGCCCCTTCACCCCTTCTCGTCCTCTGTCCTCCTCCACCAGGCTCCCCTCCCCCACCCTCCTTTCCCCTCCCCGGCCCCGCCCACCCCGTGATCACGTGGGGCCCGCCGGATTTAAGCCTAATCTGCCCGACGCTCAGCCGGCGGTCTGGCTGTGGGGGAGTCTGGGTTGGACTCTGGGACCCTAGGAGAGGTCTGCAGAGGGTGCCCAGGGCCGACCCCCATGAGCTTGGGGCTGGAGCAGTCGTTGGAGGTGGTTATCCAGGTGGGTCCGGGGCTGTGCCCCGTGCAGGGCAGGGGCGCGGAGCCTCGCAGGAGAGGGTGAAGGACGGCGCGTCTCGGGGTGCCGGCGTGGGTACGCCGGGGGGCCCCCGCTTGCAGCTGTCGCCCAGGGTGGGGGCGGAGGGGTTCTGGGGTTCAGTTCCGGTCCTCTGTCCAGGGCCCCTCGAGTGAAGGGGAGTCCCCACTTCCAGGTTTTAGGGTTGGGGTGATCCCTGCTAGCACTGTGGGGTCCTCATCCCTCTCGGGCGGGAGCTGGGCGGGAGCCCCCGGCACCCCGCCTGCCGGAGGCGGGGTCTGTGAGGGGCCCCCGGGGGCCTCCTTCCCAGGGCAAGGCGCGCAGCGTGGCTTTGTGCCAATCTGACGCCCAAGCTTCCTTCCAGGTGGGGGTGTCCTGAGCGACTCCTAGGAACCCATGTCTCAGGTGGAAGCACTTTGCTTCTTTGCCACCCACACCAGGGAGCCCCGGGTCTCAGACCCTCCCACTTTCCCCGCAGACTCTGGAGAGGAGCCTCCTGGGGTCTGGCCAGGAGGCGGGCCTGAACGGGAGGGGCCCGGCCCAGGACTCGCGGCCCAGGGGCCTGCCTGCCCGCATCAGGGAGATAGTCACCCGCAGCCTCTCCCAGGCTGAGAGCACAGGTACCGCTGTGAGGCAGGCACAGACCCCAGATGGAGGGTCCCATTTTACAGATGAGAAAATGGAGGCTCGGAGGTGGCATTTGCCTAGACTTGTCTCCATGTGCTGCTGTGAGAAGGCGGGGCTGAGCATCCCCTCCTTGATTGCAGGCAGCCTGCTGCGAAGACTTAAACCCCAAACACCACCCCAAACACCACGTTCTCTCCCAGGGAAGGGGTGAGCTGGGTGAATCCAAGACAACAGGGAGAAGGCAGCTCAGCTTAGCTCAGGGCTCTGTAGATGGCCTGGATTGGCAGTGCCCGTTCTCCGCCTGGGCAGGAATGCTCATGGGCCCCCATGCCCCTGGAGGGCGGCCCCCACAACTTCCTGTGTGCTTTGAGAGTCTGGGACAGGACCCCCTCAGCTGCAGCTCCCAGCGGGGCCCCTGTCTGTCTTCCTGCCTCCAGGGATGGGTGGGGCACCTGTTGGGGGAGGCTGTCCCTCTGGACACAGGTGGAGGCCAGTCGTGTGCCCCGCTGTCCTTCTGCAGGCCCGGCCCCCGAGATGGCCTCCATGCTGTCGCTGCAGGAGGAGAACCAGATGCTGCAGCAGGAGCTGTCCCGTGTGGAGGACTTGCTGGCCCAGAGCCGGGCCGAGCGCGACGAGCTGGCCATCAAGTACAGCGCGGTCAGCGAGAGGGTGGGTGCTGCGGGGCACGGGGCTCCGGATGGGGAAGGTGGGCCCTGGAGCCAGGCGGCCTGTGTTCAAGTTGCAGCTTGGCCCCCTCGAGTGGCCTTGAACACGTCCCTCCACTCTGCACACCTGCTGCCCTCAGTGGCGACAGTGACGACATGGAGCTTCAAGGAATGGATGGGATGAGGGAATGAAGCTCCAGGAGCCTGGGTGTTTCATCCCCAGCTTTCCCCAGCATGCTTGGGGGTGGGGGAGGCGGAGAACAGGACCCCTGAGAGTCCCCCACCAGTCCTTGAATCTCTGGGCATCGCCCTGTGCCCCCATGTACCTGGGCCTTGGGGTCCACCCAGCAGGCTGGGGTGGGCACAGACCTGCCCCGCTGTCCCAGATGAGGCTCCGCCAAGGAAGGAAGGGGTAGCCGGGCCTGTGTCCAAGTCCAGACAGGGTTTGTGTCCGGGGGCCTGTGCCGCGGGGCCGGGGCAGGAGGTCGGTATGCTGGGCGCAGGTTGTTCTTAGTGTGTTGTCTCCTTTAGGCCGCCAGGCTCGGGGCAGGCGACCCTGGGGCGTTGATGGTGGCTGCAAGTTGGTGAGAGAGCTGCATGAGGGAGGGAGCGTGTGTGCCCGCGGGAGGGGTTGTGTGGGTGGTAATGCAATAACACATAATAGTATCCGTTAGTTTTTGAGGCCCTGCTGTGTGCCAAGAGTGTGCTGGGAGATTTACATTTAAGATACCAAGGTTGGGACCGTTAAGATGCTCATATAATAGAGGAGCTCACCGAGGCTCAGAGTCAAACAGCCCAGGGCTCTGCATTGTGGCTTTGTTTCCTGGGGATGGGAAGAGGCAACTGGGCTGGGGGTTCCAGGGGGCAGTTGGTCCTGGGAAAACGGGAAGGACCTCAGACGTGACCCCTGATACTGCAAGTGGAAGGCTGAAGCCTGCAGATTGAAGCTGGCCCAGGGTCCCCTGAGCAGGACTGGCAGAGCCAGGGTTGCCCAGGACTCACTGAGCTGGGCCTGTCTACACGAGGGCTTGTAACCCCTCGGAGGGAGGAGTGAGCTGTGTCTCCCTGTGGGTGTGGGCTGTGCCCGTGTCCTGGCATCCGCCTGCCGGGATAAGCTCCCGACTTGTTGGGACTTGCAGAGAAGCAGGGCAGGGGGCCCTGCAGTGGCCCCCGGTGCTGGGCACAGGGCGGGGCTCGTTTTCCCAGGGTTTGCAGGGGGTGTGGGGGGCAGGCTGGACTAATGCGCATTGTTGGTGGCGGGCCAAGCCAGCCCCTCCCCATTGAGGCTAGTCATCTTGGGGCTCTTGGCACAGTGTCAGGCCGGGCGGGGGTGGGGGGGAGTGCTGCCTCTTAAATGCCAGTTTCTAACCGACAGTGGGGCTAGCACAGCACCCCCCCCCAGCTGGGAGGGGAAGGGAAGAAGAGGTGGAGGGGGCTGCTCCCTTTCCTGGGAGGACGCAGCTGGGGGGCTGTGTTAGTCTAGAAAGTTCCCGCCTGTGGCTGCGATAACGTGCGGAGGGAGCCTGGCATGAGACTGTCCCCTGTCTGTGATGGTGTGCCTGGGCCCCACGTGGTTAGATGAGGATGACTTTGAGGCCTGTCCTGGGGGTGGGTCCCCAAGGAACATCAGAGCCTAGAGATCACCTCATCAGAGGTGGGGAGACAGGCCCAGGGAGGGCATCGCGGGGCCAAGGCCGCTGGTAGAGCTGGGCTGAGCTGCTGGTCTGGGCACCGTGGCCCTGGGGCATCGTCCCTTTCTGCTGCCCACGTGGCCCTGGGCGGCAGGAGGCGGGGCCTGCAGCCCTGCAGCCACAGCGGCGCACATGGCCTGGTTTGAGGTTGTTTGGACCCCTTTAGCCCCACAGCACCTCGAGGAGGGGTAGAGTTGAGGTCGTGGTCTGTATCCTGCAGCTGCGTGTGGGGAGGCTGAGGCGGTGACCCCCTGGGTCAGAGGGGGGACCTCGGGCCCCTGTGAGGCCCCCGCTCTCCCGTCCCTGAGGAGCAGGTGTCGGGCCAGCCCCGCTCGCACAGTGTCCATGGTAACCTGGACCCGGTGAGCGGAGCAGCGGGCAGTGGGGCGGGGGTTGCTAGGGGAGACAGTAAACTTCTTTCATCCTTGGCTTGGGAGCAGCCTCCTTCCATTTTGACTTATGAGTGAAATTGAAAGGCTGTTTTGTGAGGAGCAGAGTCTGTGGAAAGGGGTGGGGTGTGCCCGGAGGGGCAGGGGTCTGGCTGTGAGACCTGGGAAGCAGCGGAGCACTGGCAGTGGAAGGAACCCCTCTAGACCTGAGAGACGAACAGTGCCTGGTTCACACAGCTCTGCGAGGCACACACCACAGCCACAACAGACCCTTTCTACATGCACATGTGTGCAAGTTGCTTCAGTCGTGTCTGACGCTTGGTGACCCTGTGGACCGTAGGCCACTAGGCTCCTCTGTCCATGGAGTCTCCAGGCAAGAATACTGGAGGGGGTTACCCTGCTCTCCTCCAGGGGATCTTTCCAACCCAGGGATCGAACCCAGGTCTCTTACATCTCCTGCACTGATAGGTGGGTTCTTTACCACTAGTGCCATCTGGGAAGCCCTTCTATATACACACACCAACACAACCCACCAAGAGGATACACTCGGATTCACAGAAGCTGCACCAGACACCACACCATCCCGCTGCACGCATAGCCACACACCATGGCGTATCTGGTGTGCCCACACTGCAGACAGCCCAGCACTGGCTGGTCACCTACAGCCAGACATAGGTGTGCACAGATGCACGCAGACCCACCCTCTACAGCTGTGCACGCAGGCGTACACATGCATGGACACATGGGCGCACACACAGAGGTGCCCATCTACTTCACCACAGTGTGTGCCTTGGACCATAGATGCCAGCTCACCCAGGTCCCCTGAAGGCCCAGACACAGACACACAGGGTCACACATGGAGACAAACGACAAAACACACCCCACCCACGTCCAGGACTCACCTGCATTGGTGTGTGACACACGCAGCATCTCGGGCCACGGCCAGCACGCAGGCGCTCTGCCCTTCACCTGACTTGGGTAGACTCCTCGCAGATACTGGCCACAGGCTTGCTGCCCACCCTCCAGGCAGAGAGAGACCCCCTGCATGTCGCCTGCTCCCACCCCCTCAGACCAGGTCCCCCAAATGAGCTGCAGCTGCCATGCGGCCTCCACGGGCACAGTCACCCTGTCCCAGCTCTGTCCCCGGGGTGGGGGTAGAGACGAGCTTGTTCTCAGGTTGGTGGCTCCCTGAGCCTCTCCTGGTGCGCTGCTTAACCCCAGCCTGGAGGGCCGGCCTGGCCTGGGCCCCTGGTCCACGTGGGTGACGGTAGTCGTCCTTGCCGTGGGCTTCCCCAGGACCGGATGTGGGTGGGCGTGTGAACGGATGCCCCGCCCCGCCTCTCGCAGGCTCTGGGCTCGGCCCTGCGCTGTCGGTCCACTCTGGGCACCGTCCTCCTCTGAGCCCTGCTATCCTCGGCTGCCTCCTCCTCCTCCTTTCTAGGATGGCTGGAGGAGGCTGGGGGCCCCCTGGGACCAGCAGGTGCCTGGAGGAGAGGGTTTGGGCTAGTGGAGGCGGTCAGAGCCGGCAGGCGTCCTGCTGCTGACCCCAGGGTCGGGTGATGAAGGGGCTGCAGGCTGCCTGGACGTGGGGGACAGGGTGGAGTGGGGTTCCCCCCAGTGAGGGAGAGCGGGGAGCTGGGGGCCAGGCTGGGCATGGGGGATGGGGTGGGGTGGAGGTCCCCCCAGTGAGGGGGAGTGGGGAGCCAGGGGCCAGGCTGTGCTGGGACGGCGTTCATAAGCCATGCCATGTGTCAGAACAGTTGTGCTCGCCTCTTAGAAACCTGAGCACTGTGTGTGTGGGGAGTGGGAGCCGGGTGAGCCGTCTGTGTCAGCCTGGGGGTGTTTGAGACGACCTGTGTGTGTTGTATGTGCGCATGTCTCTGAGCTTGCATATGTGTATGTGTATTGATGCCTCTGAATGTATTCACGTGTGCTCATGCTGTTAATTCGTTAGCGTGCTATTCTAAGATAGCATATTCACCGTTTTAAGATACAGTGGGGAACAAAATCGAGGTTTCCTGAGGGTTTGGGTGGGGAGACCGGGGCGTGGCTCTAATAGCTACCCACGCAGGGCACTGGGTGATTTGGAGCGTGCCCAGGGCCTTTAAGGTTTGCCCCAGGGGCATCTTTGTGTTTTGCGTGCACACGTGTGTGGGCCCACCTGCATGTGTCCCTGCACACCCAGTCTGTGTGTCTGTGCACACCCTGTCTGTGTGTCTGTGCTTGCCTCCTCTGTGTTTATGCTTGGCCATGCACACGTGCACTGCGTCCTGGGCTTGTCACCTGGGCCTGCAAGGCATTGTGGGTAGGGGTCCTGCCTGGCGCCCCCTACAGAGGCCTGAGGCTGCCTTCTGGGGAGGCACAGGACTCTCACCAGGGGCCCTTCCCTGCAGCTGGAGCAGGCTGTGCGGCGGGAGTCTGGGGAGCCAGAAGCCCAGGAGCCCAGGGGGCTGGCCCTGCAGAGCGTGGAGCTGCGGCGGCAGCTGCAGGAGGAGCAGACCTCCTACCGGCGCAAGCTGCAGGCCTATCAGGAGGGCCAGCAGCGGCAGGCGCAGCTGGTGCAGCGGCTGCAGGCCAAGGTTGGGCCACTGCCCTGCTCCCTGCACCCTTCTCCCCCCTGCAACCCCAACCGCCGCAGCTAACCCACTCTCCGGCCACCCCCAGATTCTCCAGTGCAAGAAGAAGACCTCAGAGACGGAGCAGCAGCTGCTGGAGAGATGCGCGGAGCTGGAGCAGCTGCGGCTTCGGGTGGGCGCCGGGGTGCGGGGGGGTGGGCAGGGCTGGCCCTTCCTGCCCTGCCCAGCCTGACGCCCCCGCTTCCCCACCCCCCAGGACGCAGGGCACAGCCAGGACCTGGAGAGCGCCCTCGTCCGCCTGGAGGAGGAGCAACAGAGGTGGGCCCGCGGGGGACGCACGGGGGCCGGCGGCCTTCCGCTCAGGCACCCACTGGCTCTCCTCTGCCCCGCTCAGGAGCGCCAGCCTGGCCCAGGTGAACGCGCTGCTCCGGGAGCAGCTGGACCAGGCGAGCTCGGCCAACCAGGCCCTGCGGGAAGATATCCGCAAGGTGACCAGCGACTGGGCACGCGGCCGGCAGGAGCTGGAGCAGCGGGAGGCCGCCTGGAGGCGCGAGGGCGAGGTGGGCGAGGGGGCCATGGGGCCCGGGGGTCCGGCCTGACCCCAGGAAACAGCCTCGCTGGTCTGGCGGGGGAGGAGCCTCGCGCCAGCTGAGCCCTTTGATTCTCCAGCAAGAACGACCGCGTGGGTCATCATGCCCTTCTCCAGGGCATCTTCCCGAGCCAGGGATGGGACCCCGGTCTCCTGCACTGCAGGCAGATTCTTTACGATCTGAGCCACCAGGGAAGCCCCATTAGGGAGAAAAATGGTTGTCCTAACAATAGCCTTGATTAGCGCATACTGTGTGAGAGGCGGGCGTCTTCTCTGATCCTCTTAATAACACACATGGATGGTGCTTCCGTCCTCCTGAAGAGAGGTTGAGCTGCTGCCCGGTCATGCGGCAGGCAGCTGGGATGCAGACCGAGGTCTCCGGTATCTTCTGCCCTTTCCCTTGGAGGCTTTGACACCCAGCTCCCTGGGCCAGGGGGAGGCATGGGTGGTGAGCGAGGCAGCTCCGACTCAGCCTTGCGTGTGAGCTGGTGTTGGTCACGGCACGCGCGCCCCCAGGGCGGCCCCCGGGACGCTGGGCATGGGTGGGACGCGGGCCGGCTGCTCCTGCCCTCACTTCACCCCTCCGTCTCCTAGTCTTTCAATGCCTACTTCAGCCATGAGCACAGCCGCCTGCTCCTCGTCTGGAGGCAGGTCGTGGGGGCCCGCCGGCTGGTCAACGAGGTGAAGATGGCCACGGAGAGGTGAGGCTGGCGGCGGAGGGGGCGCTGGCGGAGGCAAGGCCGCAGCGGGAACAGCCCTGCTCTTGATCACTCTGCCCCGCTGGGCTTCAGTCCCACCTGACCCGCCTGCTGTGTGCCTGCCCTTCAGAGAGGCAGAGGCACCTAGTGATAATTAGCTCTTACCAGATCAGGGCAGTCATTTCGTATTTGCTTAATGTGTTTACTAAACTGACTGTGACTAAATAGTCATATTTTACTAAACTAAAAACTTATTTTTTTAGTAAATTATCTTTTTTAGTAGTTTTAATAATTTTTAGTAAAAAACTAATTTTTTTTAGTTTAGTAAACATATTTTACTAAACTAAAAACTATTTTAGTGTTTACTAAATTTACCGTTTCCTAGTCACTACTAGTACCCTGGAGGAGGCTGTGGCAATCCACTCCAGTATTCTTGCCTGGAGAATCCCCAAGGACAGAGGAGCCTGGCAGGCTGCAGTCCGTGGGGTCATAAGAGTCAGACACGACGGAGCGACTACGCACAGCACAGTCATTACTAGTAACTAGTAAACATTTACTAGATATTCGCTTCTAGCTAGGCTCCTTGTACCTTTTATTTCATTTCATATCCCGAGTGTTCCTGTGAGGTAGGAACTGTAATAGTCCTCACTTGTCAGGGGAGGACATTGAGGCTCAGAGAGTTAGAGTGACTTTTCACAGATCACAGAGCTGTAGGAAAGAAGCTGGTCAGGGTTTATCAGCCTGTTTTTAGTCCACTAGACTATTCAGTGTCTACTGTGGAGGACCTTGCAACCTTCAGGGAATTCCCTGGCAGTCCAGTGGTTAGGACTCTGTGTTTTCACTGCTGAGGGTCCAGGTTCAATCTCTGGTCAGGGAACTAAGATCCCGCAAGCTGTGTGCAGCCAGAAAATTTAAAAATAAAAACAAAGGACCTTGCAGTCTCTATATTGAGGAAGTGAGTGGTCAGTGACATGAAAGTGGAACAGAAAGGATGTCCCAGATGCTCAGAAGGATGGAAGGGGTTGTGAAAGTAAAAGTTGCTCAGTTGTGTCTGACTCTTTGTCACTCCATGGACTGTATAGTCCACGGAATTCCCCAGGCCAGAATACTGGAGTGGGAAGCCTTTCCCTTCTCCAGGGGATCTTCGCAACCCAGGGATTGAACCTAGGTCTCCCGCATTGCAGGTGGATTCTTTACCAGCTGAGCCACCAGGGAAGCCCCAGAATACTGGAGTGGGCAGCCTATCGCTTCTTCAGGGGGTCTTCGCGACCCCAGGAATCGAACCGGGGTCTCCTGCACTGCAGGCGGATTCTTTACCAACTGAGCTATGAGGGAAGCCCCCAAGGGAAGGGGTTGGGAGGCCGGAAAATGCTACATAGGGAAGATGGAATTTGCACTGACCCCAAAGGATAGGTAGAGTTTTAACTAGCAGAGCTGAGGACCCTCCAGGGAGAGGGAACAGCAGGAGCAAAGGCTTGGAGGTGGGAGAAAGTGGCAGACAGTGGAGCTGAAGCAAAAGGCAAGTGAGTGGGAGGTCAGGTTGGAAAAGAGCCTCACAGGTCCCTTCTGCCCCCGCCCACCTCCACCACACACAGTTTGTGGGATCTTAGTTCCCCAACCAGGGATCAAACCTGTGCTCCCTGCACTGGAAGCATGGAGTCCTAAAACTGGACCACCGGGGAAGTCCCTTCCTACTTGCTCTTTGAGCAGGTGAGGCTGTGGGGAGAGCCCAGAGGCAGGCAGACCAGTCTGTCTCCTTTTGTGCCTTAAGCATTTGTTTAAGTAATGACCTTTCGGTGAGATATCTCATATTCGCTCAGTATCCAGATTTCCAATTGATTCATCAGTATCACAGATGGTTTTACTTTGGTTTCTGCCTTTAAAATTGTTTGAATTGGGATCCACAGATGTTCACAAAGTGTGATTTGTTGATTTGTCTTTTAAGTTGAATATTTTATTTGTTATAGAAACTGGGACAGTTGTCCTCAGAGATTTCCACAGTCTGGATTCTGTGGTGTCCTTTAACACCTTTGTCCCCTGTATTTCTTGTAAATTGGATGTTGGACTTAAGGCTTCATCAGATTCAGGTTCGGGTTGTTGTGTTTTGACACAGCCTTTTCATAATGCTGTGTACCCTGCCATCAGTAGCCTCTCTTTTTGTGTGTTGACAGCCCTTGACACTCAATGCCAAGGTCCAGACATTCTTCAGAGATTGCAAAATCGTGATGGTCTCATTCTGTCACTGCGTCATGTATTAGCTGGAATTCTTCTATAATAAGGCACTTCCTCTTCTTACCATTTGATACCCAGTGGTACAGTTCATTCAGGAAAGGGAAGAATTTAACCTATTTGATATATTTTAAGTATGTATTATTTTAAATTAGCATTTAACATTTTAGCACCTTGCTTTTGAAAAATTCATATAAGCCCAAGGTTCAAATTTCAAAAGATGTACTGCAGAGTCCCTCCCACCTTTGACCCAGACACTGAGGCACATTTGATAAAAGCAAATACAGCAGACTATACATGTCTCCCTCTCCCCTGGCTTCCTCCACTGCTTTTTTGAAAAACAATATTTATTTATTTATTTTTGGCTGTGCTGGGTCGTAGTTGCCGCGAGGGCTTTTCTCTGCAGCAGGTGGGGGCCACGCCCTCATTTTGGCACGTGGGCTTCTCATGCGGTGGCTTTTCTGGTTGCAGAGCATGGGCTCTTGGGCACTTGGGCTTCAGTGGTTGCGGCTCCCGGGCTTAGTTCTTCCACGGCACGTGGGATCTTCCCGGATCAGGGATCGAACCCGTGTCTCCTGCATTGGCAGGTGGATTCTTTACCACTGAGCTACCAGGGAAGCCCCCATTGTCATTATAATTTACACTTGGAAGTCCACCCTCCCCCCCATCCGACCTCCGTTCTGTGTCCTCTCCACCAGGGACCTGCTGCAGCTGGGAGGGGAGCTGGCCCGCACCTCGCGAGCCATCCAGGAGGCGGGCCTGGGGCTGAGCACGGGGCTGCAGCTGGCTGAGAGCCAGGCCGAGGCGGCCCTGGAGAAGCAGGCCCTGCTGGAGGAGCAGCTGCGGAGCAAGCAGCTGCAGGAGCAGGAGCTGGCCCGGCAGCAGCTGCAGAGCAACCTGGACAAGGCCAGCCTCAGTGCCAGGTGGGCTCCCGGAGGCACCGCTTGAGGCCGGCCTCGCTGGAGCGGAAGGCCGGGGGTCTGGGGCAGAGGGGTGTCTGTTCACCAGTGATGGGCCCTTCCCCTGTGTGGGCTTGGCCAGTCTCCCCAGGCCCTCCATTTGGCAGAGGGGAAGACGGAGGTTCAGAGGGCTCTTGCCCCAGGTTGAATTTCATGTTTGCAGTTCAGCCTCTGCTCCCACTGGTAAGGAACCCATCTGCCAGTGCAGGAGATGTAAGAGAGGCGGGTTCAATCACTGGGTCAGGAAGATGCCCTGACCAGGAAGATCCCTCCTCCTCCTGGAGGAGGGCATGGGACCCACTCCAGTCTTCTTGCCTGGAGAATCCCATGGACAGAGGAGCCTGGCGGGCTACAGTCCACGGGATCACAAATAGTCAGACACGACTGAGTGGCTTGGCGCCCAGCAGCACTCTACTTCTGAGATCTAGGCAGGTCCCAGAGTGCTTCCCCGTGAGATAAAGTGCCTGGCACCTCATTCTCATTCAGAGATGAGAAGTCTGCAGCCCAGAGAGGAGACGGACTTGCTCCAGGTCACACAGCAAGGGAGGCAAACCCTAGTGTCCCTGCCTCAGGTTTGAGGGAGCTGGGGGTTTGAGGAGAAGCTGGGTGGGTCTCCCGTTCACCTGTGTGGCTCCCCCACCTCCAGAGTGACTGAGTTGGCTCTCACAGTGGAGCGCCTTCAGGACCAGAATCTGGAGAAGGACCAGCTCAACAAAGCCCTCAGTGAGAAGCTTGAGGCCCTGGTGAGATGTAGGGTGGGACGGGAGGGACTGGACACAGGCTGAGGGCTGGGTTGCTTGGGCAGCCCACTCAGAATCAGCGTCTCCCCTCATTAACTGAGCACCTAGTGTATGCCAGCTTTAATGTGAGCACCTAGTATGTGCCAGCTGTAGTGGTTAGCACATTCACTTCTTTATCCCATTTCATCCTCTCAGCTGTTCTGTAGCATGATCCCCATTATACAGATGAGGAAGCTGAGGCCCAAGAGAAAATACTTGTCCAGAGTCTCAGAGCCATAATGCTGGCGAGTCAGGACTGGAACTCATGCCTATATGCCCTGCTAGCCCAGGGCTCTTTCTGTTGGAACTCAGCTGCCTCCCCACCAGAGGGACACCCCTCATGGGTACTGCCTGGGTTGGTCATCCTGTGTGAGGTCTAGCCTGGATTCCATGTCCAGCTCTCTTCCAATAGGCTATGTGGCCTGGGGCAGACTGTACCTGTCGGGGCCTGGTCGGTTCAGTGAGGGCACTGGTGCCGCTGTGGGGTCTCCCAAGCCGTTGGCCTCTGGGCATGGCCTTCGAGGTGCCCTGATAGATGGTGGTCCGGGTAGGGAGACCGTGGAGTTTCTGACTAGGGCAGAGACCCTGACCACTCTTTCTTTGTCTCCCCAACACCACTCCAGGAATCCCTGCGGCCCCAGGAGCAGGCAGCCTTGGAGACAGAGGAGGGAGAGGGGCTGCAGCAGACCCTGAGGGACATGGCACAGGTTGGAGCCAGGCCAGCACTGGGGGGGGGGGGCCCGGGCAGGGCCCGGGCAGGTGGTCCTGGACCACCTCATCCCTTGGTGGCCTTGAGCTGAACTGCAAGCTGTTGAGGGCGCTGAAGCCCTCCCTGCTGTTTAACACCCCTTCTATTAATAAATAGCTCAGCTCAAACTTTGCCCGGAGAGGACGCACTGCCTGTTCCCTGCCCATCTGAGAAAGGCTCTGTGGTGTCTTCCCAGTAAATGGAAGGCGTCCTGGTGGGCTGAGGGCTGTGATCAGGAAGCCTTTTGGGAGGGGGCCTAGGGTGTGCTGCAGAGTCTGGGGTGAAGCTGGATGCCAGACTCCAGTGGCCACACTGCGCCCCACTAACCGCGCAGCTCCCCTCTCCCACTCTCTGACCCGCCCCCAGGCCGTCCTGTCGGACACGGACAGCGGCGTCCAGTTAAGTGGCTCTGAGCGCACAGCGGACGCCTCGGATGGCAGCCTGCGGGGGCTCTCGGGGGCCCGGACCCCGTCCCCACCGAGGCGGCCCTCGCCCGGTCGCGGCCGCTCCCCACGCCGAGGCCCGTCCCCCGCCTGCTCGGACTCCTCCACGCTGGCCCTCATCCACTCGGCTCTGCACAAGCGCCAGCTGCAGGTCCAGGTGGGACGGGGCTTGAGCGTCCTCCGCTGGGGCTCCAGCCCAGGGGCAGGCCTGGGGCCTCCGTGGGTTGAGCCTGAGCACCCTAGGGAACCTTAGGGAGAGCCAGAGCTTGGGGAGAGGGCAGAGAGCCGGGACTCCGAGGTGGCCGAGCTCTCCGCGTCTGGAGTGGGAGGGACTTGAGCTGCTGGGGGCGGAGCCTGGGGAGCTAGAGTCCCAGTATGGGAGGGGCTTGAGCTGCTGGGGGCGGAGCCTGGGGTGGAGCTAGAGTCCTGGTATGGGGGGGCTTGAGCTGCCGGGGGCGGAGCCTGGGGTGGAGCTAGAGTCCTGGTATGGGGGGGCTTGAGCTGCTGGGGGCGGAGCCTGGGGTGGAGCTAGAGTCCTGGTATGGGGGGGCTTGAGCTCCTGGGGGCGGAGCCTGGGGAGCTAGAGTCCTGGTGTGGGAGGGGCTTGGGCCGCTGGGGGCGGAGCCTGGGGTGGAGCTAGAGTCATGGTGTAGAGGGGAAGACGAGGTGCCCACATAGACCAAGCCAGAGAGCCTTGGGTGAGGGCGTCAGACGCGGGATGGGGAAAGAAGTGTGCTTGGTGTTTGGGAGACCTGGGTAGGAGTTGCCTGGGGCCCCAGGAGGTGGAGGTTCAGAGATCTGGCAGAGGTGTCAGAAGGGTGGGAGGGCCTCGTGCAGGGGAGTGGAAACTGAGTCTATGGGCTTCGCTCCACTTTGCCGCCCAGAGATGGACACAGGTCTGGGTCCCAGCGCAGGCTGGTGTACATCCTGCCGAGAGCAAGGGCTTCCCTGGACTCAGTGATTCTGCCACAGGACATGCGGGGGCGCTATGAGGCCAGCCAGGACTTGCTGGGCACCCTACGGAAGCAGCTTAGTGATAGTGAGGGTGAGCGCCGTGCCCTGGAGGAGCAGCTGCGGCGTCTGCGGGACGAGACCGATGGGGCCGCCCGGGCCCGGGAGGACGCGCAGCGGGAAGCCCAGCGCCTGCGCAGCGCTGTCGACCTCCTGAACAGGTGCCGGGGGCCAGAGGTGGGGCGCCCACCCCTGGGGATGAGTTAGCCTGTGCGTGCTGGATTTGCACTAATATGGTCGTAACTGGCCATGTGTGTCTGTTCAAATATGTCAACATTTACAAAAGTAAAAATTCAGTCCCGCAGTTGGATTAGCCTTGTTTCAAGGGCACGTGTGACTATGAAACATTTCCATCAGCCGAGAGCCATATTGGCAGTGTTGTTCTAGACACTGTTTCTTGGGGATTTCAGAGACAAGAAATTATCCATTCTTGGCTGCCTGTTGTTTTTGATTTTTTGTTCCTGTTTTTTTTTTCTTTTTAAATGCAACTTCATAATAAAAAGGTTGAAAATGGAGGGAAATAAAAAGGGGAAACCTTTTCACAGCCCCCCCCCCCCCATCTTGACCCTGTTAATGTCTTGGCATTGCTTTCCGTCATATTTCCTGACAGTTTGCAAACGTCCCCAGTACACCTCCTGTGTGCCATGCTCATTGCAAGTCCTTCATGTGTATAGTCTCAGTCTTCTGTCAAACCCGTGCAGTTCACCGTTATCGTCTTGAGGTTGAGAGACTTGCCCAAGGCCGCATAGCAGTGTCGCTGGGGTAGGAGATGGGATCCTGGTCCATCTGATAGCAAAACCAGTGATTTCCATGCCTTTGAAGGAGAAGTGCTTTTATGTAGTTGTATTCTTAGGAAATGCCTCATTTTGCATTCTGTTTTTCTTAATTTCACGTTGTTATGTTTTCATCTGCCTACTGCAAGCCTTCATACCTAGTGTATTTACAGGTTGCCATTTTGAGCAAAGGGGAGTTGACACTGGAGGATATGACAGCCATCAGCCCTAAACCAGAAACTCCAGTCCTAGAAGGAGGCTCTTCCCTCCCTTGCCCTGGCTACCACGTGCTGCTGGCCTGGGCAGCAGACCCTGTGGGATCTGGACACACCCAGCTCTGTTGGGCCTCCCAGAATTAAAGGGCATGGGTGCTGTAAGGGGGCCTTTCCTGGCTAGGTGGACTAGCAGAGCTGGTGGCAACAGTGCCCACATGTCTCAGGAGCCTGGCCTGGCCTTTTCACCCGATGGCAAGGCTTCCACCCATTCCTCTGGGCCTCCAAGTGGGCTAGATTGAGGAGAAGGACGTGTGGATTCTCACTGGTGGGAAGAGTCAGCTCCAGGGAGACATGGATGAGATGAGTGGGCCACCTGCAGGGGCAGGAGCACTTCCTAGAGGCATGGACCTCTGAAGGTGGCAGTCTGTGGCTCCTGGCTAGGACAGTAGCGTGGCCATCCTCTCTGGTGGAAGGGGCCCTGGCAACCCCTTCAGCTCCCTTTCCTTTCATCCTGCAGGGAGAGGGACAGCCTGGCCCACAGCCTGCAGACAGCCAAGCAGCAGGCCGAGAAGCTACAGCAGGAGTGGGAGAAGCTGCAGGTGGCCCAGGAGGAACTGCGGCGCCAGCGGGACCAGCTGCAGGAAGAGCGGGAGGACACAGTGCAGGACCACACGCGGACACGCAGGGAGCTTGAGCGCAGGCGAGTTGCTTCTGGCTCTCTGCCAGGGCCGCTCGGCTGGGCCCCGGGACCCTGGCTGTCCCTGGGGGCTCGGGAGCACTGACTGTGTGCTGGATCTCTTCCCTGCACCCCTCTGCTGTAGGGTCTTCTAGCCAGAACCTACAGGAAACTGGGGCTCGGCAGGTAGAGTCATTTCCCAGAGATCAGAGAGCTGGTAGGAGGTAGAGTGTGGATGATGATAATAACTAATAAAACAGGAGTTACTTTGTTGTTCGGTCAGCCAAGTGTCTGACTCTTTGCAACCCCATGGACTGCAGCATGCCAGGCTTCCTTGTAGTTATATTAGCTATATGTATAACATTTATATGTAACATTAATATAACAGTTATGTATAACTTCATATATAACATAAAGTAATATATAACATTCAGTTCAGTTCAGTCTCTCAGTCATGTCCGACTCTGCAACCCCATGAACTGCAGCACTCCAGGCCTCCCTGTCCATCACCAACTCCCAGAGTTTACCCAAACTCAGGTCCATTGAGTTGGTGATGCCATCCAACCATCTCATCCTCTGTCATCCATATTATTTAATTAAAATGTAACATTTTATATGTACCAATATTATTTTAATAATATTATTTTAAAATTTAAAGTTATACTAATAAGACTAATACTAACCTTACGAAGTACCAGACACCATTTTAAGCATTTAGATTCTCTTATTTCACCTTCATAATAACTGTGTGATATAGGGGGTGTTATTAGCTCCATCTTATCAACAGTGAAACTGAAGCACAGATAGGTCATTTAACTTGCCCAAAGTCACACAGCTAGTTAGTAGAAGAGCCAGGATTTGAACCCAATCACTGGGGCTTCAGAGTTAACCTCTTAACCACTGTACTGTTCATTTATAAGTAGAAGTGATGTTTAGTACGTTGTGGCAGTAGATATTATCCTTGTTTCTGAAGGCCCTTGGGGATGTATGTCAGGTTACAATAAGGATACATGTCCTTTTAACACCTTCATGAGCTGGGTGTTACCCCATCTTACAGATGTGAAAACTGAGCTTCAGAGCCCCTGTGGGTGAGGCTCCTGCCTCGTGCCTGGCCCCTCGCTGCTCCAGCATGCCTGGCTGTGGGAGAATGAGGGGAGTGACCTGGGGCACCCCCCTGCCCTCTGTCCCGTAGCCACAGACAGCTAGAGCAGCTGGACGGGATCCGTTCAGGGCTGGCGAAGGAGCTGGTGGAGGTGCGGGAGGCACTGAGCAGTGCCACGCTGCAGCGGGACATGCTGCAGGCCGAGAAGGCCGAGGTGGCCGAAGCGCTGGCCAAGGTGGGTCCCCGTTGGCCGCCCTGCCACAAGCCCCCCTGCCAAAAGCCCCCCTCTGCCCTGGGCCCCGGGCCCCCTCCCTCTGGCCACAGACTGAGCCCCTCCTGCCGGACTCAGGCTGACCTCTGGCCTGGACCATAAATGGGCCTCTGATCCCGGCCATAAGTGAGCTGCCCTGCAGGCCTGGTCATACCTCTGCTTTTCCGGATGCTTCTGGGGCAGGGTCTGTGGCTCGGGTCGTCCCGCCCCATCTCTGGGCACAGGTCCTGGGGTCTGTGAGGGCTGGGGGCACAGTTCTTGGTTGGTGCGTGTCCCGCTCCCTGTGGTCTAGGCCCTGAGCAGGCCCACCCGCGACGCCACTCCGGTACCCTCTGACCTCGGGCTGTGCCCTGAGGCAGGAGCCAGCTTTTGTTGGCCCTTGCGCAGCTCTGCACGGGCAGCAGACTGTCTGCAGGGATTCTTTCCAGCTCGTGTTGTGTCTCTCTCCTCAGGTCCCCGCCCTGTCTGAAGGCCTTGTCGCCCCCCTCCACTCCCCCACCCATCTCTCTGCCTTTCTCCTCATCCTTCCGCATCTCCATGTCCCTCGAGTCTCTTCCCCCCTCTCTGCCTGACTGGCTGCTGGTCCCAACCCTGCAGGCAGAGGCCGGCCGTGTGGCACTCGAGCTCTCCATGACCAAGCTGAGGGCGGAGGAGGCCTCTCTGCGGGACGCCTTGTCCAAGCTGAGCGCCCTGAACGAGGGTCTGGCGCAGGACAAACTGGCTCTGAACCGCCTTGTCGCCCAGGTACGTCGTGGGCTGGCGGACCCTCCTGCCTCGCCCCCGCCCCCCGCTCCTCAGAGACCCCCACGGAGGTGTCCCCAGGCCCAGCCCACCTCTCCTTGGACACCTCCGTCCCTCTGTCTTGTTCTGTCTCTTGACTCCCTCTGTCTCCTCTCTCGTGGTCTGGCAGGAAAGAAGGTCCGCAGTCCCTGCATCTCCTCCCCAATGGTCTGATGGCCTCCAGCCCTGTGCTTGGCCCTCGGGAACCTCCCCTCCCTGCCCAGTGGGGGTGATTGATGGGTGGGCCCCCTCCCGGGACAAGGGCTGGGCTTGCCCCTGCTCTCAGCCCCACCTGACCCACAGCTGGAGGAGGAGAAGGCAGTCTTGCTGGGCCGGCAGCGGCAGGTGGAACAGGTGGCTGCTGCGTCTTGGGAGGAGCAGGAGCGGATGCAGCAGGAGCGGCTGGAGCATGAGGTGGAGCGGCAGGGCCTGGAGGGCTCCCTGCAGGTGGCGGAGCAGGCACGGGAGGCGCTGGAGCGCCAGCTCCCCGAGCTGCACCATGAGCGCTGCCGGCTGCAGGAGCAGCTCGCCCAGGTGGGTGGGGGGGGCGGGGTGCGGCGCTGGAGGGCTTCTAGGCACCGGAAGTCACAGGTGCTGGAGCCTGATTCCCAGCTGTAATCCAGCCCTGCCTCTGCAAGCTGGGACCTGGAGCAAGCTCCCCAAAGCCCCCATGCCCTGGTGTCCCCGTCTGCAACGCAGGGATGATAGTTCTTATCCCAGAGGGTTGTTCTGAAGAGTGCACCGTGTAAACACTTGGAGAAATTAGTCACCATTTAGTAAAGATACGATAGTTGGTAGAGAAGTTCAGAACTGGAATCTTAGACATGCTGGGAAACCACAGCTGTAAGGAACCTTAGCGTATCTGTCCCAGAGGGCCTGGCTTCCTGGGAGGGGTCGCTAGCAAACAGACCACAAGGCGCGGGAGCCAGGGTCCCAGTTCCCTCTCTTGAGGCCTGCAAGGCAGCTCTCCTTTGATCTGTTCTATGTATTCACTTCTGGACATTTTGCGGGTACAACAAGCAAGGGTTTGATTACTGCCCAAACTGAGCGAGGACCCTCAGGTTTGCATGCAGTGTGCACTGCAGGTCCAGAGAAGGCTGTGATTTGTCCAAATAAACACAGCACATCAGGGTAGGCCCTGGGCTTGAGCCTGGTCTCCTGCCTGCCAGGCCGGGGCTGGGTCAGGCCCGGGGCTGGGATGCTTCAGGATGAGCAGGGGAGACCCCAGGGGTGGCGCTCACAGCACCTGGTGGGGGCCAGCTCTCCCGGCAGCTGAGCGAGCGGGAGCAGCAGCTGGAGCAGGCCCAACAGGAGACGCAGCGGCAGACGGAGGCACTGGAGCAGGCAACCCGGGAGAAGGAGGCGTTGGCCAAGGAGCGGGCCAGCCTGGCGGTGCAGCTGGCGGCTGCTGAGCGTGAAGGCCGGGCCCTGTTGGAGGAGGCCGCACGCCTGCGGTAAGGCCTCGGGCTCTGCCCAGTCCCCTGGGGGGACCCACCCTGGGGGGGATTGGCCAGGGTTGCCCGCTGACCAGCCCCACCCACGCATTGGCCCACAGGGGCAGTTACTTAGGAGCCAGAGTTCAGGCTTCCCCGGGGAGCGTGGACCTGGCTGGGCAGGTAGGCTGGCACCTGGCCCTGCCTGGCCACGCCCTGGAGTCCGCTGGGGCCCAGGGGGCTCAGGCCTCAGGTATTGCATGTGCTGCAGCTTGGAGAAGGAAGCCCTGGAGAGCAGCCTGTTTGAAGTGCAGAGGCAGCTGGCGCAGCTTGAGTCCCGGCGGGAGCAGCTGGAGGCAGACGGGCGGGCCCTGCTGCTGGCCAAGGAGGCCCTGACCGGTAGGCAGGCCTGGGGCAAGGGGCAGAGAATAGCAGGCTCTGACCCAGACTATACCCCGTGGAGTTCTGGGCTCTCCCTGAAGTTGGGATCCTTGGCTTCGGCTGACCTGGCTCCCAGCGCCTCCTCTTTCTGGGCTGCAGGCTCCTCATCTGACAGTTAGAAATGAGGAGCCCCACCTCCTGAGACTTGACCAAGACGAGGTGAGGGAAGCATGGCCTTGGCATGATGCCTGCTGTTTATCATCATCAGGACCCTCAGAGAGTCCTGAACTCTCTGTGGAGCCAGCATCAGCTGCTTTCATGATGACTTTCACTGCCCCCAGTCTCTGAACTTGGAGTTTTTTCTCACTCAACAAACATTTACTGAGCACCTCAAGAAGGGAAATGCCGACAGACTCTGGCAGACCTCCAGCCCCCAAGATGGTTTTTAGATTGTCCAGAGTGGGATGCACCCTCATCACGGTTGTTTTCATTAGCGCTGACAGTCCTCCAAGGATACCATGGCAGTCAGTCATTAAAGGTGGCGTCTTACGGAAAGCTGCGCTGCCTTGGGAGGTCACCTGTCTCCTCTGAGCCTCCCTGGGAGGCTTTCTCATCTGGGAGTCGGGGGTAAGCCGCCTAGTTGTGATGTGAAGCTGCGATGTGCCCGCCAGGTGCCCACCAGAGTAAGCACTCAGTGACGGGGGTTGCCGTATGTTTGCGTCCTCCCCATTTTGATGCCATTCCAGGTCAGTAGGGCCACTGGACCCATGCAGCAGCCGATGGGGACACTGTGGCCTAGAGAGGGCAAGGAGGTTCTCTGCGGGAACTCAGCCTTGGTACCAGAGGGACGCTTTCCCCTCTGGGACTTTGCCCCCGTGGCTCCCCTGGTCCGAGTCTGCTGGCCCACTGGGGAGTTCCCCTCCAAACCTGACTCCATCCCATCTCTCCTGTACAGGGGAGCTGGCGGGCCTGCGGCAGCAGATGGCAGCCGCAGAGGAGAAGGCTGCTCTGGACAAGGAGCTGACGGCCCAGAAGCTGCTGCAGGCTGAGCGGGAGGCCCAGGCCTCTCTGCGGGAGCAGCGGGCAGCCCATGAGGAGGACCTACAGCGACTCCAGCGAGAGAAGGTTCGGGCACTGGCTTGGAGTGGGCTGGGGCGGGCTGGGGCTGGCTTGGGGCAGGCTGGGGAGGGCTGGGTGGGGAATGGCTCTGAACCACTGGCTTTAGCTCCTCTGTGACCTCAGGCAAGTCAGCCTTCTCACTCTGCCTCAGTCTCCAAATCTGTGAAATGGAACTTCAATTGTGTTTCAGAAGCCCTGGGGGCAGCTGGGAGGATCCATCAGTGGCCCCTTCTTATCAACCATGCAGATTCCCAGGCCCCAATCTGTTCTAGCCCTAGTGATCCAAGGCAGGAGGTCCACAGACATGTTTGGAAAATGCTGATCTAATGTATAGCAGGAAAGCACTTTAATTTGCGAAGAAGTGCTATTTGCATTTGAAAGTAAATTCTGGGGACCAGAGTACATAGGAAAGTGAGGGCCCAGGTCACTGAAAGAACAGAACAGAAGTATCTAAGAACACTGGCTCTGGAGCTGTATTGCCCAGGCTTACCACCTGATCTTGGCCACCTGCTGCTTTTGTTACCAAAGGTCTCTGCCTTCACATCCTCATCGTAACCATGGGGGATGGTGATAGTCTGAGGCTGGCCAAAAAGCTTGCTCGGGATGGTGTGGCACACCTGAACGAACTTTCTGGCCAGCTGAACCACAGGAAGGGCCTCACACAGAGCAGGCGCTTTATGGGTGCTGTGTGGTGGTCACTGCGCTGAAACATGCCCGGGCGGGCCTCTGGGCCGGGCCCTGCGTCACCCATCTTGGACTGGGCTGCCTCTAACAGAGGGTTCGGGCTGTGGCCCCCTCCGCCAGCGGCCCATGCACCCCGCCTTCTTGGATTTGGGTGGATGGAGCCCCCCTTCCCAGCAGGAATGGCACTGAGTTTTAGGCAGGCAGTCTTCACAGCTGTTAGGACGAGTGCGGGGCCAGGTGTCCCCCTCAGGCCCCGGGTGGGCTCTGCCTGTGGGTCTCACCCACCCAGTACTGGGGGCCAGACTCCATGCCCGCCCGCCCTCCCCCTGCACCCCCAGATTCAGCCTCTTAATGTCAGCATATCTGCGGCTCTCAGACCCAGGCCTCCTCAGTCCTCACAACTGGCCCAGACCCCTAGTCCCAGGCCTTCTTCCACACTCTGCATGTGTCCGTGCTAAACCACTTCAGTTCTGTCCGATTCTTTGCAACCCCATGGACTATAGCCCGCCAGGCTCCTCTGTCCATGGATTCTCCAGGCAAGAAGACTGGGGTGGTTGCCATGCCCTTCTCCAGTGAATCTTCCTGACCCAAGGATCGAACCCGAGTCTCTTACATCTCCTGCATTGGCACATTGGTTCTTTACTACTAGCGCCACCGGGGAAGCCCACGACAACCCAGTGTTCTAAAATTCAGATTGCCCCTTATCACCCTGGCTTGAGACCTCTGCTGTCCCTAGGAATCAGATCACTCCTCCCTAAAGCCCACTGGTCTGGTGTGGTCTGGCCTGACTACTGCCTGTGGCTCTGGCCCTGGCCTTCTCCCTGTCCGCCTTGTAATTCGAGCTCCAGGGACCGTAAATATCATGGTTTCCCTGTTCGTCTTCCTCCTTCCTCCGAGCTGTCTCTGGGGCTGTACTCTGGCCCAGGATCCTTTTTCTTTTTTCTCTACGTGACTGACTGCTGCTCATTTCCTCCAGGAAACATTCTCTGCCCCTGCTCCACTCAGCCCCCATCCTCCCAGCCCACTAGCCGCTGCTCCTTGGGGCTTGTGCAGCCCGGCATGTCCCGGGCACAGCCCTTCCTCTTAGCCACCCCACCTGCCCCGCGGCCCGGCCGCCCCCGAGGGTGGAGAGCGGCTGCCCACCAGGCCGCGTGGGTCACGCGCACCTGGGTCCGGCCCTCAGGAGGCGGCGTGGCAGGAGCTGGGCGCAGAGCGGGCTCGCCTGCAGGGTCAGCTGCAGCGGGAGCGGGAGGAGCTGCTGGCCCGGCTGGAGGCTGAGAAGGAAGAGCTGAGTGAGGAGATGGCCGCCCTGCAGCAGGAGCGCGACGAGGGCCTGCTCTTGGCCGAGACTGAGAAGCAGCAGGTGCGTGGGCTCCGGCAGCCGCCCCCTGGGGGCTGGACCCACTCGCCACCCAGGCTTGCAGCCAGGAGTCCTTTCCCAGGCCTCGGTTTCCTCAGCGCACAGTGGGAACTCAACGGGCATTCGTGAGGCATCGCCGAGACCCCCATGTCCAGCGGGTGGGTCTGGCACACGGCGGGAGCTTACCAAGTGGCCACCGCAGTCTTGACACCATGAGTGTTGTTCCTGAAAAGCTGACCCCCTGCGCCCACCCCTCCTCCACCCTGGGCCAGGCATGGCATCCCCATGACCGCCTCCAAGCAGTCCCCACAGAGCCTGTGTGCGGCAGCTGACCCTCCTCAGAAAGAACTGACTCCTGACCTACCTGTAACATAATGGAGACAGGGCAGGCTGCATCCATCTCTTCTCCCCTGCTGTGTCACCCAGGGCAGGTCACTTTACGTCTTTGAGCCTCAGTAGCCTCATCTGTAAAATGGGAATAATGAAAGGCCCTGCAGGGTGTGCGATCTCCAAGTTGTGTCCGTGTACAGGTTGTTACCGCTGTCATAACAACAGTGCAACAGCTCCTTCCTGGGGCTGCGCCGTGGCCCTGGCTCCACCTGCGGTGGCCAGGTCAGGCCCCACACCCCCCGGGGAACCGTTCCCAGGGCAGGGTGGGGGAAGGCCCGAGCATCCGCGCAGAACCTCCCAGGGCCCTGAGCCCTTTGCTCCCACCTCTCCCCAGGCCCTGTCCCAGAAGGAGTCCGAGAAGACGGCGTTGTCTGAGAAGCTGATGGGGACGCAGCACAGCCTCGCTGCCGTCTCCCTGGAGATGGAGCGACAGAAGCGGGATGCCCAGAGCCGCCAGGAGCAGGACCGGGTAGGGTGGGGGGCCAGGCGGGGGAGGGGGTGCAGGGGTGGGGGGTGTGGCCCGTGGGGGCTGGGTATTGGCGGGTGTGGGGGGGTGGGGCGGAGCGGAGGTATGGCCCCGGGCGGGGTGGGTCCGGGGCTTGGAGGCGAGACTGCCCAGTGGCAGCTTCCAGGCTGTGCGGGAGGCGTCACCCTTCCTTGGGGGTCCCCGCTGGAGGGAGAGGGCACAGCTGGGCCCTGTGAACCCCTAGCCTGAGGGAGAGGAGCTGCGTGCAGAGCACCTGCCGGGTGTCAGGAGATCACAGAGGGCCTGGCCGGCCGGTGTGCGGGGCTACCCTGGGAGCCGACAGTGGACAGTGTGCTCCGCTGGCCCAGCTGTAGTCAGGGGTGGGCTGGCGGGGACAGGGCCAGGGCGGACACCACAGCGCCAAGTCTGAGGAGCCATCGGTCCTAGAGCACCGTGAATGCTCTGACGTCTGAGCTGCGGGACCTGCGGGCCCAGCTGGAGGAGGCCTCTGCGGCCCACGCCCAGGAGGTGAAGAGGCTGCGGGAGCAGGCCGGGGACCTGGGCCGCCAGCGGGAGTCCTGCCTGCGCGAGGTGAGCCGCCTGCCCGTCTGCTCACCCCTCCGCCGCAGCACAACTGAGGCCGCTGGGGGCCCCAGAAGGTGCCCTTGAGAGGGCCCCAGAAGGTGCCCTTGAGAGGGAACAAAGGCAAAACGGGAAGCAGCAAACATTTATTAACGGCCTGCTGTGTATATGTGGAGCTTGAGCTCTCACAGAAAGGTTGGTGGGGTCCCCGCCTTCTTAACTCATTATTGACCAGGGGATTTTTGCAGAAACTAATGCCTGTGGCCAGCAATTTGTAAGTGAATATTGAAACGTCTTTGGTCAGTGTATCCAGGTAACAAAAGTTGTATTAATACATCTTTGGTCAATAACATGTTAAGGTTGATCTATAGGATGGCCGATCTCTTTGGGGGGCTGTGTTGCACGGATGTGGCAACTTCTCTAGCTGGGGACCACACCCGTGCCCTCTGCAGGGGAAGTGTGGAGTCTTAGCCATTGGGCCGCCACAGAAGTCCCGCAGGGTGCTCTTGATGGGTGATTAGGTAGTAGTATTAGTTGCTCAGTTGTGTCTGACTTTACAACCCCAGGCACTGTAGACCACCAGGCTCCTCTGTCCATGGAATTCTCCAGGCAAGAGTACTGGAGTGGGTAGCCGTTGTGCTTTCCAGGGGCTCTTCCTGACACAGGGATCAAACCCGGGTCTCCCGCGTTGCAGGCAGGCTCTTCACCATCTGAGCTGCCAGGGAAGCCCTGATTGATGATTCTTTCAGGCCAGAGTACCCTTGACTCCAGCATGCTTTGCCCCAAATCATAACCTGCTCACCTGCAGGCCCAATTGCAGCAGAGGAATGGGGCGGGCGCCCTGTGCCCAGGGAGACGGGGATGGGCGGGCTCCCACCCAGCCCATGGGGGCCTATCCCCCGGCTGTGGACACCCGCTGTCCTCACAGGCAGAAGAGCTCCGGACCCAGGTGCGCCTGCTGGAGGAGGCGCGCGGCGGGCTGCGGCGGGAGTTGCTGGAGGCACAGCGCAAGGTGCGGGAGGGCCAGGATGGCCGCGAGGCCCGGCGCCAGGAGGCGAGTGAGCTGCGGCGCAGCCTGAGCGAGGGCGCCAGGGAGCGCGAGGCCCTGCGGCGCTCCAACGAGGAGCTGCGCACGGCCCTGAAGGCAGCGGAGAGCGAGCGGGTCAGGTGGGCCGCAGCTGCCCACCCCACCCTTCACCGATCCCCGCCCCTCACGTTCCTCAACCTCATCCCTGGGACTAAGTCCACCCCCAGGGTTTTGGGGGAATCGTACAGGTGGGGTGTCCCTGCCCTCGGACCAAGCTCAGACTTGACTCGTTTGAGGTGATTTTCCTTCCCTGCAGGAAGGGGAGTGGTGGTGGCCAGTGGGGGGTGTCCAGACCCTGGCCCCACCTGCCGGCATCGCCCTGGAGGCCAGTGTGCGTTGCTGGTCCACCTCTCCCCGCCGAGGGCCTGCTCCCCGTCCCTGGAGGGCCCGGCCCAGGGGAGGACCGCTTGGCAGGCGGCACTGGGCACCTGTAGGCAGGAGGCTCCCAGAGCCCCTCCAGAAGCCAGGCAGAAGGGCTGCTGAATAGGGTCCCTCAGGGTACCCTCCCCAGGGCCTGGGGCCACCTCTGCCCTCTGCCCCCTCCAGCCTGAAGCTTGCCAACGAGGACAAGGAGCAGAAGCTGGTGCTCTTGGAGGAGGCCCGGGTGGCTGTGGGCAAGGAGGCCGGGGAGCTGCGGGCCGGGCTGCAGGAGGTGGAGCGCTCGCGGCTGGAGGCGCGGCGGGAACTGCAGGAGCTCCGGCGGCAGGTACACCCCTCCCCCTGTGCCGCCGCTGGCACTTGCTGTGCGCCCCGAGTCCACTGCACCCCCTTCTGGAGCCGAGGCCCCTTGTGTGTTTAAAACCAAGGGCTTGAACTGTAACAAGGCCTGTTACCTGTCCTTGGCATTAATGGATGGTCTTCGAGGAGTCCTCAAACCCTGAAACTGTGCGTGTGTGTGTGTGTGCGTTTGTGTGCACATTTGCTCACATATCTCCAAAGATTGGGTCCGGGGCTCCTAGCCAGTTCTCAAAGGGATGTGTGAACACCCGGAGGTGCAGGTCCCATGAACCAGGTCAGGAGCTGGCAGCCCTTGTGACGCGCCCAGTAGTAAATATCTCCAGGCCCCCCGGCCTGTCTCTGTCACGACTGCTCTTCTCTGCCATCTCAGGGAGAAGGCTGGCCTGGACGGCGCCTACATGAGTGGAGTGTGTTCCATCAAAACTTGGCCTGTGCACATTGAAATTTTAATTTTATATACTTTTCATGTGTCAGAAATATTTTTCTTTTGCTTTTCTTTCAACCATGTAAAAATGAGTCATTTTTAACTACTTAAAAACATACAGACCATCTTTAGCTCAAACCGTTACAGAAACAGGTGACTAGTGGAATTTGGCCTGTGGAATCTTGGCCTGCAGTTTGCAGAGCTCTGAACTAGATGACCTCCAAGGCCACCAACAGCAGCAAGCACTTACCAAGTGCCCACTGTATGCTGGGCACTGCACTGGGCACTGAGGGCTCAGCTTCCCCTCTCCAGAAGGCCAGCAGGACAGGAAACAGCCCCTTTGGCACCAGGCTCCGCCTCCCCCAGAGATACTACAGCCTGAATGACAGACCCCGCCCGCCGTCCACAGTGCGCCCCTCTACCCAGGCCCCTCCTGTTAGGCTGAAGTCCCGGGAAACCGCGGGGGTCTCTAAGGGAGCTCACATCTGTGTGCCAGGCTCTTGCTGGGGCTTTGTGCGCCATAGCACGTTCGCTACAGTGCTTCAGGGTATGTATGCCTCATCCCCCCCTGCTCCTGGGGAAAGAGGGGGCTAGAAACATCCCTTTGATTCTACTTGTCTGAGATCAAATCCCAGCGTGCTGCTTGTGGGCTGTGTGACTTTGGGCAAGTCACTTCACCTCTCTGAGTTTTCATTTTCTTGTCTGTTAAAGAGGGATAATGTCAGTAGCTTTCCTGCATTAATGAGTTCACATGACCAAAGTACTTAGAACAGGGCTGGACTTGTGGTAGACACTCCATAAAAGTTAGGCATCATTGTGGAGGTGAAAGATGCCCTAGAGTCCCGGCCCTGCAGAACTCCGAGGGGCTCAGCACTCCCTGCCCCCCACTCTCCGTGGCAGGTAGCTGTGATGGGGTGGTACGCTGTGCTCACTGGTGCCAGGTGCCTGGCCTGGCCTGGCTGCAGTTATCAGGCACGGGCTCCAGTGGATTAGGGCTGTGTTCAGTGTGTGTATCCCTAGAGCTTCCTAGATGGCTCAGTGCTAGAGAATCCGCCTGCCAATGCGAGGGGTATAAGAGATGTGGGTTCCATCCTGGGTGGGGAAGATCCCCTGGAGGAGAAAATGGCAGCCCACTCCAGTGTTCTCGCCCAGAGAATCCCATGGACAGAGGAGCCTGGTGGGCTGCAGTCCACAGGGCTGCAGAGAGTCTGACACTGAGCACGCGTGGCCGTGGTCTCCAGAGCAGGGGGTCCCGGGGATCCCGAGTCCCCTCTGCCAGGTTTAGGCCGGCCAGGTACCGGGGCAGAGCTGGAGGACTGCCGCTGGAGCTTGTGGCACTCACGGGCACCCTGGGCTCGAAGGGAGCACAGGTGCTGAGAAGGGTCCTCGGTCCTGCCTGTGCCCACTCTTTCTCTCAGATGAAGATGCTGGACAGCGAGAACGCCAGGCTGGGCCGAGAGCTGCTGGAGCTGCAGGGCCGCCTGGCGCTGGGCGAGCGGGCAGAGAAGGAGGGCAGACGGGAGGCCCTGGGCCTGCGACAGAAGTTGCTGCGGGGCGAGGCCAGCCTGGAGGCCCTGCGGCAGGAGGTAACCAGGCAGCGGGCAGGCGGCCTGGACGGGAGGACCCTCGGGGCAGTCAGAAGGAGCAGGAGACTCTGATAGTGGAATCTTTTTTTTGGCCACACTGCTTGGCATGTGGGATCTTAGTTCCTCGACCAGGGGTTGAACCGTGCCTCCTACAGTAGAAACAGAGTCTTAATGCTGGACCGCCAGGGAAGCCTCTGCTGGAGTCCTTCTGAGAGATCACGCTTCAGGACTGGCCCCTGATCCCCACTGCTTGGGACTCTTCCCCAAGTATGATAATAACCATGTAGCTGCAAGAGCTGGGTAGCAGGGGTGGCGAGAGCTTTGTGGACAGAAACTTGTTTGATTCTCCCAGCAGCCTCATGAAGTAGGTATAATTAGCCCCAGTTTAGAGAAAACCAGATACCGAGGCTCAGAGAGGTCAAGGGAACTTACCCAAGGTCACAGAGCCACCCAGGTCTGTCTGACTCCAAAGCCGACAGTCTTCCACTCTTTTCTGGCACCGAATCTACTGTGTGACCTTGAGTAAGTTGCTCAACCTCTCTGTGCTTCAGAGCAATTATAGGATAGGGGCTGGCACGGCAGGGGGTGTACACCACCTGGCGCAGGTCTTGGCATCCAGGAGGTGTTTCAGTGAAACTAAGGGCAGTGAGGGAGAGTTTGACTCCTTCTCTGACCCAGAGGCATGTGTCGTGTATGTCGTCATGCACATGGCTGGTAGAGAGTTCCTCAGCACCTCCTGTCGCTGTGTGATTTGTTGGTAAATTCCGTGCACTAAGAGGCACTGGCCTGGAGGTTAAGAGAAAAGGCTCTGGAGCCAGGATGCCTGACTCTGAATCCTCGCTCTCGGTTTTCTAGCACTGTGGCCTTGAGCAAGGTACGTAACTGCCCTGTGTCTCAGTTTCCTCATCTGTAAAATGGAGATGATTCATAGTGGTAATTAGACTTGATGTTTTAGGTGTGGGGGAGTACTTAGTGCCTGGCACTAGTAAGTCCTATCTGTGCAGACCTTAGCTGTTAGTTTATTAGTAATAAACGGTGTACACTGCAAGGCACATACAGAGAAGGAAGAGAGAAAACAAACGCTAACCGTTTCCTTCCATATTCCCACGATGTTCGCGCATCTCCGGCTTGGGTGGAGACCGCATGTGCTGTGTACCCTACTTTTGGGCCCGTGGGCTCCAGGCCGGACCTGGGAGGCTGGGTGTTGGTTGAGGGGTGGCCTTGCTGACCCCTACTCCCGGGCCTTGTCCCCACTCCAGCTCCAGGGGGCCCAGCGGAAGCTGCAGGAGCAAGAAGGCGAGTTCCGGGCCCGGGAGCGAGACCTGCTGGGCTCTCTGGAGGAGGCGCGCGGTGCCCAGAAGCAGCAGCTGGACCATGCCCGCAGCCTGGGACTCAAGCTGGAGGCCACCCGGGCTGAGGCCGCGGACCTGGGGCTGCGACTCAGCACAGCCGAGGGCCGGGCTCAGGGCCTGGAGGCCGAGCGGGCCCGTGTGGAGGCACAGCGGCGCGCGGCTGAGGCCCAGCTTGCCAGCCTGCGCTCAGCCCTGCGCCGAGGCCTGGGGCTCGGGGGGCCAGTGGCTGGCTCCCCCGCCCGGGGTGCACCTGCCGGAGGTGAGAACAGAGGTGGGGGTTGGCAGGCGGGCCTTGCAGGGTCTCCGCTCCTCGTCCGCCTCTAGGCCTAGCTCTGTCCTGCCACGAGGCACCCTGGGCTGGGCTGCACCTCCTCTGATGACCCTGCCCTGCAGCTGGTTCTGATGGCCTCGCTGAGCCCGCCCACCTGGGGTCCAAATCACCTTCAGGCCCCTTAGCCGGGGCCTCGTCCCCTGAGCGCATCTCAGCCCCGCTCCCTCACGGAGGCAACCGGGCACACGTGGATTGATTGCTTCTTTTTAAAGGAAGCGGAAGGTGCTTTTTTTTTTAATTGAACCATAGTTGATTTGCAATGTCATTTTGGATGTAGAGTGATGTGATTCACTTATATGGATGTAAGTGGGCTTCCTCGATGGCTCAATTGGTAAAGAATCCGCCTGCAGTGCAGGAGACCCCCGTTTGATTCCTGGGTCGGGAAGATCCGCCGAGAAGGGACAGGCTGCCCACTCCAGTGTTCTTGGGCTCCCCGGTGGCTCAGGTGGTGAATAATCCACGTGTAGTGCAGGAGACCGGGGTTCCATCCCCGGGTCAGGAAGATCCGCTGCAGAAGGGGCAGGCTCCCACGTCAGTATTCTGGCCTGGAGAACTCCATGGACTGTATAAGTCCGTGGGGTCGCAAACAGTCAGACACAACTGAGAGACTTCCACTTCACTTTATGTATGTATGTATATTTTAAAATACTCTTTTTTGTCATGGTTTATTACAGAATATTGAGTATAGTTCCTGTTTATCTATTATATATAAAATAGCTCGTATCTGATAATGTCAAACTCCCAGGTTCATCACTGTCCTAACCATCTCCCCCTTGGCATCCACAGGTTTGTTACTCATTTTTGTGACCCTGTTTCTGTTTCATAAGAGTTTATTTGTGCCATATATTTTTTAAAATATTTATTCACTTGGCTGTACTCAGGCTGAGTTGTGGCACGCAGGATCGTCCATCTCCGTCTTTGGATGCTGGGTGTTAAGTTAGCTGGGAGAGTTCCCTGAGCAGGCGTTGAACCCTGGTTCCCTGTATGGGGGTGCGGAGTCTTAGCCACTGGACTGTCAGAGACGTCTCTGTGCCATGTTTTAGATTCCACATATAAGTGAAATCATATGGTGTTTGTCTTTCTCTTTCTGACTGACTTCACTCAGTATGATAATCTCTAGGTACATGCATGTTGCTCCCAATGGCATTATTTTATTCTCTTCCATGACCGGGTAGTAGCTCATTGTATACATGTACTGCATCTTTATCCATTCATCTGCTGATGAACATTTGGGCTGCTTCCGTGTCTTAATACTGTGAATAGTGCCGCTGAGAACACAGGGGTGCGTGTATCTTTTTGAATTATGTTTTTGTCTGGGTAGATGCCCAGGAGTGGGGTTGCTGGGTCATATGGCAACTCTGTTTTTAATTTTTTGAAGACCTTCCATACCATTTTCCATAGTGGCTGAGAGTGCTGCATCTTAATGTCCTTAGCTCGTCTGGGTCTGTGTCTCTGTCCTCTGTGATTGGCTCCTGCCCCCTCTCCACCAGCTCCTCATCCTCTTTCTCCCATCACGGCCACCCACTCCTCCGTTACGGCCTGTGGCCACTATGTCTACCCTAGAAAGATACACGCTCAGCGCAGCCCCCTTCCAGGAACTTCAAAAGAGATCCTCCCACCTGCCATCTGCTCCCAAGGCCCAGGCGGTGACGCTGGGGAAGTCAGCACTGCGCTTCAGGGGTGCAGGCCGCCTTTCGGGAAGCCCTCTCCTGTCTCAGCCTAACCGCAGTCTCACCTTGACTCTTAGGGCAAGAAAATAGGTAAGGAGAAAGTCAAGGGATATTGTTGGTTGGAATGTAAAATAGTGCAGCCACTGTGAAAAAATAGTTTGGCCGTTCCTCAAGCAACTAAACTTCAGAATTACTATTTGTTGTCATTGTTGCTCAGTTGCTAAGTCATGTCCGACTCTTGGTGACCCTGGGGACTTCAGCGCGCCAGACTCTGTCCTCCATTATCTCCCGGAGTTTGCTCAAATTCATGTCCATTGAGTTGGTGATGCTATCTAACCATCTCATCCTCTGCTGTCCCCTTCTCCTTTTGCCTTCAATCCTTCCCAGCATGAGAGTCTTTACCGCTGAGTCGGCTCTTTCCATCAGGTGGCCAAAGTATTGGAGCTTGAGCATCAGTCCTTCCAATGAATATTCAGGGTTTATTTCCTTTAGGATTGACTGGTTTGATCTTCTTTCAGTGCAGGGGACTGTCAAGAGTCTTCTTCAACACCACAGTTCAAAAGCATTAGTTTTTCAGTGCTCAGCCTTCTTTATGGTCCAACTCTCACATGTGTTTATGGCTACTGGAAAAAAACATAGCTTTGACTATGCAGACCTTTGTTGGCAGAGTGATGCCTCTGCTTTTTAATGCTCTGTCTGGGTTTGTGATAGTTTTCCTTCCAAGGAGCAAGCATCTTTTAATTTCATGACTGCAGTCACTGCAATGATTTTGGAGCCCAATTACCATATGACTCAACAATTCCACCCCTAGGTATATACCCAAGAGAATTGAAAAGAGGCACTTGAATAGATATTGTGCAGCATTTCAAAGTGTGCATGAGCAGGTGAATTGATAATGTAGTATTTGAATACAATGGAGTTTATTCAGCCTTAAGAAAGAGGGCCATCTTGATCGGTGCTGCACGGTGGATGGACTTTAATAGCATTATATTAAGTGAGATAAGCTGGTCACAAAAGGGCACATACAAGGACTTCCCTGGGGATCCAGTTAAGACTCAGCACTTTCACTGCGGGGGGCATGGGTTTGATCCCTAGTGAAGGACCTAAGATCCCGTAAGCCATGTGACCAAAAAAAAAAGAACAAATATAGTATAATTCTACCCATAGAAAATATTTAGAACAGACATTCATGGAGACAGAATTTAGAGATTGCCAGAGGTGTGGGGAAGGGAGGATTAGGAGTTACTGCTCGCTGGTTTTAGAGTTTGCGGTTGTATTTGTCTGCTAGGGCTGAGTGGCTTAAATAAGGGGAATTCGTGTCTCATGGGTCTGGAGACCAGAAATGCAAGGTCTGGGTGTTGACAGGACCATCCTTCCTCTGCAGAGTTAGGGAAGAATTTGCTCCAGGCTCTGAGCTCTTGGTAGCTTCTTGACAGCAGCAGCATATTCCGGTCTTCACGTGGGGTCTCCTGGAGGGTGTGTCCAAGCCCCCCCTTTGTGGCTGTGCCAGGTCTTTGTTCCAGCGTGTGAGCCCTCAGTGGCAACCTGTGGGATCTAGTTCCCTGACCAGGGATCTAACCCAGGCCCCCTGCATTGGGAGCATGGAGTCCTAGCCACTGGATTCCCAGTGAAGTCCGCCAAATGTCCCCTTTTGTTAGGACACCAATCATGTTGGATTAGGGTCCACCTTCCTCCAGTGTGTGACTCCCCTGGTGGTTCAGGTGATAAAGAATTTGCCTGCAGTGTGGGAGATGCGGGTTCCATTCCTGGGTCTGGAAGATTCTCTGGAGAAGGGAATGGCAACCCACTCCAGAATTCTTGCCTGGAGAATTCCATGGACAGAGGAGCCTGGTGGGCTACAATCCATGGGGTCACAAAGAGCTGGACATGACACCTAATCTTAACTCATGACAAATAAGGTCCCATTCTAAGCTGTGGCGGTTAGGACTCCAACTTATGGATTTTGAGGGGATGCAGTGCGTAATAGGGGTGATGGAAAGGATTTAGAAACAGATAATGGTGATGTTCACATAAACAGTGTGAATACAATTAATGCCACTTAAAGGTGGCCAGAAAGGCATGTTTTGTGTTTATCTTGTCACAATAAAAGTGTTTGGGGGGGAATTCCCTGGCTGTCCACTAGTTAGTGCTCTGTGCTTCTACGGGCAGGGGTTTGATCTCTGGCCAGGGAATGAAGATCCTGCAAACTGTGCTGTGTGGCAAAAAAAAGAAAAGAAAAGAAAATACTTGTTAAAGATAAGGCGACAGTGGGGGCTCTGTGTGGAAGCTACGGGGCGGCTTGGGTGTCACTAGGCAGATCACTTCACTTTCATGCACTGGAGAAGGAAATGGCAACCCACTCCAGTGTTCTCGCCTGGAGAGCCCCAGGGACGGAGGAGCCTGGTGGGCTGCCGTCTGTGGGGTCGCACAGAGCCGGACACGACCGGAGCGACAGCAGCAGCCGCAGCGGAGACGCCGCCGCTAAGGGCAGGCGGACTCTGCATCCTGCAGTTCTCATGTCGGCCTCTCGGTGCCGTCCTGTTTCTGTCTGCCCTCCCCCCCCCCCTCTTCACTGCCCATCCTCTTCCAAGCAGAGTTTGTTTTCTGCAGGGAGATATGGGCATCTGCATTCCAGTCTCAGCCCTGGATCTTCCAAGCTTTGAGGCCAAGCAAATCACTTAAGAAAAGGTGGCAAGGATACCCAGAAGAACTATAGAAAAAAGATCTTCATGACCCAGATAGCCACGATGGTGTGATCACTCAACTGGAGCCAGACATCCTGGAACGTGAAATGAAGTGGGCCTTAGGAAGCATCACTACGAACAAAGCTAGTAGAGGTGATGGAATTCCAGTTGAGCTATTTCAAAACCTAAAAGATGATGCTGTGAAAGTGCTGCACTCAATATGCCAGCAAATTTGGAAAACTCAGCATGGACACAGGACTGGAAAAGGTCAGTTTTCATTCCAATCCCAAAGAAAGGCAATGCCAAAGAATGTTCAAACTACTGTACAATTGGCACTTATCTCACACGCTAGCAAAGTAATGCTCAAAATTCTCCAAGCCAGGCTTCAACAGTACATGAACCGAGAACTTCCAGCTGTTCAACCTGGATTTTGAAAAGGCAGAGGAACCAGAGATCAAATTCCAACATCTGTTGGATCATTGGGAAAGCAAGAGAGTTCCAGAAAATCATCTACTTCTGCTTTATTGACTATGCCAAAGCCTTTGACTGTGTAGATCACAATAAACTGTGGAAAATTCTGAAGGAGATGGGAATACCAGACCACCTCACCTGCCTCCTGAGAAATTTGCATTCAGGTCAAGAAACAACAGTTAGAACCGGACATGGAAAAATGGACTGGTTCCATATTGGGAGAGGAGTACAGCAAGGCTGTATATTGTCACCCTTTTGATTTAACTTATATGCAGAGTACATCATGCAAAATGCTGGGCTGGATGAAGCACAAGCTGGAATCAAGATTGCCGGGAGAAATATCAATAACCTCAGATATGCAGATGATACCACCATTATGGCAGAAAGCAAAGAGGGCCTGAAGAGCCTCTTGATGAAAGTGAAAGAGGAGAGTGAAAAAGTTGGCTTAAAACTCAACATTCAGAAAATGAAGATCATGGCATCTGGTCCCATCACTTCATGGGAAATGGATGGGGAAACAGTGGAAACAGTGGCTGACTTCTTTTTTTTGGGCTCTAAAATCACTGCAGATGATGACTGCAGCCATGAAATTAAAAGACGCTTGCTCCTTGGAAGAAAAACTGTGACCAATCTAGACAGCATATTAAAAAGCAGAGATGTTACTTTGCCGACAAAGGTCCATCTAGTCAAAGCTATGGTTTTTCCAGTGGTCATGTATGAATGTGAGAGTTGGACCACAGAGAAAGCTGAGCACCTAAGAATTGATGCTTTTGAACTGTGGTGTTGGAAAAGACTCTTGAGAGTCCCTTGGACTGCAAGGAGATCAAACCAGTCCATCCTAAAGGAAATCAGTCCTGAATATTCATTGGAAGGACTGATGTTGAAGCTGAAACTCCAATACTTTGGCCACCTGATGCAAAGAACTGACTCATTGAAAAAGACCTTGATGCTGGGAAAGATTGAAGGCAGGACGAGAAGGGGACAACAGAGGATGAGATGGTTGGAGGGCATCACCAACTCGATGGACATGAGTTTGAGCAAGCTCCGGGTGTTGATGATGGACAGGGAAGCCTGGTGTGCTGCAGTCCATGGGGTCGCAAAGAGTCAGACACGACTGAGCAACTGAACTGACAGAATCCACTCTGAGCCTGTGCAGCCTGTTAAGGGGGGAGATTGGTCCTTACCTCTCAGGGAATTACTGTGAGGATGAAATGAGGTGATGTAGGGAAAGCATCGGTCCAGCGTCTGGCCCATTGTAAGCACTCGGAGTGTGTGTGTTAGTCGCTCAGTTGTGTCCGACTCTGCGATCCCATGGGCAGTAGCCCTCCAGGCTCCTCTGTCCATAGAATTCTCCAGGCACAAATACTGGAGTGGGTTGCCATTCCCATCTCCAGGAGATCGTCCTGACCCAGGGATTGGACCTGGGGCTCCTGCACTGGTAAGGCATATGCTTTACCGTCTGAGCCGCCAGGGCACCCCTAAGCAGTCAGTATAGGGAGGTACTGAAGCGAGGCAGTGTGAACCCAGAGCCTGGGCCCTGGGATGCAGCCTTCATGGTGCTTGTGGTCTGGGTGGGGGGCAGACACTGGGAGCTCACCCCAACCCAAGGCTGGAGTCAGGGAGGCCTCTGAGGAGTAGTCTTTACATTGAGGCCTAAAGGAGTGGGCCAGAGAAGCCTTGGGGAGAGAAGGGAATAATAGCATGTACAGAGACCCCAGAGCCTTTGTAAGGAGGAATGTGGGAGCCTGGGAGCTGTGGGCGGTATCAGCTGGCCCGGTTATAAGGAGAGAGATGGATGCTAGGGCGAGCAGTAGGGGATGGCCTGGACAGGGGTGTGATTTTGAGGGTTGTGAGTGCTGATTGAAGGTGAAGTGAGAGGGTGCGCAGACCCAGCCGGTGCCATGAGGAGCTCGCGGGGCGGCGGGACACAGCAGGCATGATGCGCTGGGACTGTGCAGATACCATGTGGACAGCAGATGCCCATGGCCCCTGTGTCCCCCAGCATGTCTCCTCCTCTAGGAAGCGTGGAAGGGCTCAGTAGCCCCGACCCCGTGGAGCACGGCCCCGGGTCCCAGCCGCCCTCCCCAGGACCGGCCGTCTCCCCAGGGCCTGCAGACCTGGACCCAGAAGCGGTGCGGGGCGCCCTGCAGGAGTTCGTGCAGGAGCTGCGGGACGCCCAGCGAGAGCGGGTGAGGGGCGAGGGGCTGCGGAGGGAGCCACGGCCAGGGCCCCATGTGGGGCTGCCAGTCAGAGCTGGGTCTCCTCCCTGCCCGATCCGGGCCGCAGGATGAGCTTCGCATCCAGACGAGCGCCCTGAGACAGCAGCTGGCTGAGACGGAGGCCTCACGGGATGGTGCGGCCTTACGGGTCAGGCAGCTGGAGAAGGCTGTGGTCGAGAGCGAGGAAGGTGGGTCTACCCCGGTGTCCTCACCTCGGTCTCACACTCTTCACATGGAGGCGGGAGACAGTCTCCTCCCGGGGACCCTTCTGGTGGGGGGTGCCTCATGTCCAGACACACACCCCCCCAGGGCTCGGATGGCTCAGGTCTCGGCTGAGCCTGACGGGCCGGGTGGGTCCACAGCCCGCCGCAGCGTGGATGGGCGGCTGAGCGGGGCACAGGCTGAGCTGGTGCAGCAGGAAGAGAACTCGCGACATGCTGAGCGGGAGCGCCGGGCAGTGCTGGACCGCGTGGCCGCCCTGGAGAGGAGCCTGCAGGCCATGGAGAGCGAACTCCAGGCCAGCCAGGTAGGCGGGGGGGGCATGGGGGGCTTGGGTGTGCCTGCCAGTGCTCCCGTGCGTGGGTGTGAGTGCCTGTGTGGGTATCTGTGAGTGCTCCCATCCGTGAGTGGAGGTCTGTGAGTGCTTCCGTGCATGGGTGTCTGTGAGTGCTCCCATGTGTGTGTGTCTGTGAGGGATCCCATGTGTGGGTGTCTGAGTGCTCCTGTGCATGGGTATCTGTGCACGCTCCCGTGTGTGTCTGTTCTGTCTGTGTCGGTCTCTCAGCACATCAGCTTGTGACTCTCCAAAAGCAGGTTCAGATTTTGTTGTCTGGTTTCATACTGAAGTCATTAGTCTGTAGAAGAAAGAGTCTGGGCATTTACGGCTGACAGACATGGGTTCAAGTTCTTGCCTCACCATGTGATTTTCGTTTTTCTCATCTAGGAAAGGGGGAGACTAGTAATTCTCTCCTAGAGACCGTGCATGTACACGGTGAACACGCAGATGGTGCTCGCAGGACCTGTTTCCTTTGCCTCTGTAGTCGCACCAGGGCTTATTCTGGGGGTTTTTGTGTGTGGGGGGATGTCTGTGTATTCATGTGTGTGTGTGTGTGTCTGGGGCAGGACACACAGGTCCTGGTGCCGACGGTCAGGCTGCTGGAGCCTTGAGCCCTTCTTGCAGGCACAGATCCCCCCGTTCCCTCCTGCAGCCCTCCTGCCTGCCCCCGCAGCCCGCCCCCAGCCTCTGGCTGCAGGCCGAGCTTGAGCTGGCTTGTTGTGTCTGCGGCTCCAGCTCTGGCCGTGGGCCCAGCCGCAGGGGCGCGGGAGGCGGCCAGGAACAAAGCTGGGCGGGAGCCAGCGCGGGGTGGTGGGGCCCAGACACGGCAGGGCTGGGGCTCGAGCCCATGGACAGGGGGCCAGACCTGGGGGGCTGCAGTCAGAGCACCCCCGTGACCTGCCCAGCTCTGGAATGGCGACAGGAATGGGACTCTGGTCTGTCTTCCTACACTGTCCCCAATCCCCAGGCCCCTTCAACAGCTCACCCTGCCTAGGGTGGGGAGGACCACCATCCCCTACAACCCAGGGGGGACCCTGGGCCCCTGCCCACCGGGCAGCTCTGGGCTGCTCTCTAGAGAGCCATGGTGTGGAGCAAGGAGGCCCTGGAGTCTGCACTTTTACACCCCCACCCCCCAGTGCTCGGTGAGCACCCAGGTTGTGGGCTCCCTGGATGTGCAGGGAGGGAGGCTGAGCCTGGACCACACGGCGCGTGAGACTCGGGTGGAGCTGGAAAGTGCCCTGGGGTCCCCGACTGACCCTGCGAACGGTGGAGGCACTGAAGCCCCAGGAGAGTCAGGGGCTGACCTCTGATCCCACGGCGAGTGGTTGGACCGGCCCCCTCCAGGCCGACCCTCACTTTCTCCACGGGCCCTGAGGGGTGTGGGGAGCATGGGTGGTCTGCCCTCACCCTCCCCCACCCCCAGGAGAAGCTCAGCAAGATGAAGGCCAACGAGGCGAAGCTGGAGAGCGACAAGCGGCGCCTGAAGGAGGTGCTGGACGCGTCTGAGAGCCGCAGCGTGAAGCTGGAGCTGCAGCGGCGCGCGCTCGAGGGGGAGCTGCAGCGCAGCCGCCTGGGCCTGAGCGACCGGGAGGTGCAGGCGCAGGCCCTGCAGGAGCGGGTGGACTCGCTACAGAGGCAGGTGGGCCCCGCCCCGCCCCGCGCCAGGGGCATCGCGGGGCCCCACGCTCCCAGCAGCCCCGAGGCAGCATGCGCATCGTCATACCCCATTTCGTGGGTGGACAGGTGGAGGCTCACAGACCTGATATCTTTGCCTGAGATCATGGAGCTCAGCAGGGGCAGGGCAAACATGAGGATGTAGGACTGTTTGATGGAGTCTGCACTGAAAGGAGGTGTATGGAGAGACGGAGACTTCACTCGTTTTCTTTTTTTCTTTAAATATTTATTTATTTTGGCTGCACTGGCTTAGTTGAAGCATGTGGGATCTTTAGTTGTGGCATGCAAAGTCTTAGTCATAGCAGGTGGGAGCTACTTCCCTGACCAGGGATCAGTCCCAGGTCCCCTGCATTGGGAGTGTGGAGTCTTAGCCTCTGGACCACCAGGGAAGTGTTTAGTTTTCCTTTTCTTTGCCTTGGCTGCCAGGAAGCTCAGCTCTTAACTGGAATGTTCAGTAGCTCTGCTAGCCCTACACCATCACCCGCCTAAGCCAAGAACACAAAAACTGTCAGGGTGGTACCTTTCTCCTCCATAGCAGTGGGGAGACCACGGGGTCTGGGGCAGCTGGGTTGATGGCACCCTGAAGGAGGGCACTGAACTGGCAGTGCTTCTGGGGCCAAGCAGCCGTTGGCAGAGCGTGGCAACCGTGGGAGCGCCTGGGGACCAGGCGTGTCTGACAGAGGCCTGGAGAGGGGTGGCAGGCTCGGCCTGGGCACACCTGGACTGTCCAGGCCGTCCTCCCCCAGGTGGTGGACGGCGAGACGAAGGCAGGCACTCTGCAGCTGACAGTGCAGCGGCTGAGCAGGGCCCTGGCCAAGGTGGAAGAGAGCGAGGGCCTCCTGCGGGACAAGGCGCAGGGCCTGACGGAGGCCCTGACCCGGAGCAGCGCCAGCCTCTCCAGCACCCAGGAGAAGAACGTGCAGCTGCAGAAGGCCCTGACTGCCTGTGAACATGACCGCCAAGTGCTCCAAGTACGGAGGACCCCAGGGCCCAGCTGTGGGGGGCCGGTGGAGAGCTGGCCCCTGGGAGCCGTCCGTGGGCGCGTCCCTTGGGGGGGTGCGGCCCAGTACGCAGATTGGCCAGTGAGAGGAGGCTGTGGGGGGTCATGTCGGCCAGGATGGGGTGCAGAGTCCCGGGGCAGGCCCTCGGGAGTAGGGCTGGGGTGTGGGGGCTTCCCGCCCCGTGAGGGGCCGTGGCCAGGCCTGTACTCTGGCTTACCATGCAGGTGAGAGGACTGCTGAGTTACAGGCTGTGAGCCTGGTCTGGAGGTACTGGGCAGAGGGGAGCCCTTTGCCCGGGGAGTCCTTTGCCCAGGGCCCCCGGGCAGCCTGGCCCTGTCCGCCTTTTCCCCCAGGAGCGGCTGGAGGTTGCGCGGCAGGCGTCATCCGAGGCACGGAAGCAGAGCAGCTCCCTGGGTGAGCAGCTGCAGACCTTGCGGGGCGAGCTGGAAGATCTGGAGCTGCGGCGGGCGGAGGCCGAGGGGCGGCAGCAGCAGCTGCAGGAGGTGAGGGCCAGGGGCGCCCCACTCGCCTCCACCTCCTCCCAAGGCCGGACCCGGCCTCCCCCTTCGTCGTGTCCCCATTACTCAGGTGCAGGACTGAGGCCCCAGGACTGTTCCTTGCTGAGGGCCTCCCAGTAGCCATGTCTCTCGCGTGGGCCGGTAGCTGGCCTCATCACCCCCAATGTGATGGGGCTCCGGTGCCCACCCTGTGGCCTGGGGGTCAGGGGCTTGCTGGCTTCTGCTGCAGGCGCTGCGGCAGCGGCAGGAGGCTGAGGCTGCAGCCCTGCACACGGCCCAGAAGGTGCAGGACGAGCGGCGGCAGCTGCAGGAGCGCCTGGGGAGCCTGCAGCGCACCCTGGCCCAGCTGGAGGCTGAGAAGCGGGACGCGGAACGCTCAGCCCTGCGGCTGGAGAAGGAGCGGGCAGCCCTTAGAAGCACACTGGACAAAGTGGGCTGTGCCCCTCGGGCCCTCCCTGGGCTGCCCCCGGGTCCAAGCCCTGCTTGTGTGTGCCCGCTGGCCTGACCCCCTCTAGCTCAGCACTCCTCCCTGAGCCCCTCCAGGACCTCCCTCCTTCCCCGGGCACCCTGATGCCCCCAGGACCTCCCTCCTTTGCCGACACCCTGATGCCCCCTAGCCCCAGGACTTTCTTCTTTCCCGGGCACCCTGATGCCTTCCTCCCTGGGACCTCCCTCCTTCCCCAGGCACCCTGATGCCCGCTGCCCTTCCCACCTAGGTGGAAAGGGAGAAGCTCCGCAATCACGAGGACACGGTGCGTCTGAATGTGGAGAAGGGCCGCCTGGACCGCACGCTCACGGGGGCAGAGCTGGAGCTGGCTGAGGCCCAGAGGCAGATCCAGCTGCTGGAGGTCTCAGTTCTGCCCACCCCGCCCCTCTGCCCCTCTGTAGCCCTGGACCCAGCTCTCTGCCCCTACAACCTGCAAGCCCAGACAGTCCTGAGGGGGCGGCCCAGAGTCAGGCCTCAGAGGGAGGGGTCCTCTCCAAAGTGGAGAGAGACGGAAATGCTAAAGGCCTGTCAGCGCGTATGCGTGTGTGCTCACACTTGGGGGGCTGTGCTCACGCTTGGGGGGCTGTGCTCACACTTGTGGCCATAGAGAGCCATGAGTGTACGCGAGAGGACTGTTGTGCGTGTAGCATGGACCTTGTGTGTGGATGTGGCGTATCTCAGTACTAGGATGTATCATCTGTATAGTGTATCTTTGTGTACAGATGAATACTTTTACCTGTGGCCGTGCCGGGCCTTCATTGCTGCGGGCTTCGCCTGGGTGCAGAGGCCCCTCTCGAGTGTGACCCCGGCCTCTCACTGCAGTGGCCACTGGTCGCGGCGCGGGCTCTGGAGCCTAGGCTCAGCGGCTGTGGCGCAGGGGCTCGACTGGGCTGTGGCGTGTGGGACCCCCAGGGCCGGGGCTCGAGCCTGTGGCTCCCGCACTGGCGGGTGGAGTCACCACTGCGCCCCCGGGGGAGCCCTGGGTGTCTTCTTGGACGTGCATAGGTGAGAGTATTGGGCTTTTGGACACACGTGTGCATCGATGTGAACACAGGTTGTTACACGCTTGCTTGTATGACTGTATGTATGCGGGCTTGTCTCTGCGTTTGAACGTGTGCGTGCGTGCGTGCGCGCACATGCTCCTGAGTGGATCACCCAGCAACCTGACTCGGGATTCGCAGGCCAGGAGGGCTGGGTGGGGGGAGACAAGGCTCTGGTCCTGCAAGCCTCGTTTTGCCTGCAGGGACCCTCGGGTTCCCATCCAGAGAGGGCCTGGCTCTTCACACTCGTGCACATGTGTGTGCGCACATCAAGGCCCCAGGCCTGACCGGTGGCCCCTCCTGCAGGCCCAGGTGGCAGCGCTGGAGCAGAACCACAGCCCGGCCGGGCTGGAGGCGGCGGAGCTGCAGCAGGAGGTGGAGCGCCTACGCGGCGCCCAGGTGCGGACGGAGCGCGCGCTGGAGGCGCGGGAGCGCGCCCACCGGCAGAGGGTGCGGGGGCTGGAGGAGCAGGTATGCGGGGGCTCTGCGTGAGGAGGCTGAGCCCGAGCTGGGGGGTAGAGGGAGGGGTGAGAGAGGGCGGGCCTCACTGCCACTTGCCCCTTTTGGGCGTAGGTGCTCACTGGTGCCTATAACTGAGATGGTCGGGGTGGACCAGGCTGGTGTCAGCCACGGCTGGACCCGGGGGCTCAAGTGAGGTCACTGGAGCTCGGTCCCCTCTCCATAGCTCCATGCCTGGTCGGGCCGTCTTGCGGATGGCACAGCTGGCCTCAGGATAACCTAGCAACTCACAGTCCCGGGGGCTCAAGGGGCCGTTTTCCGTGAGAGCAACAGCCAGAGTCCCAAGGGCGCTCCTCCTGGGAGAGCTGAGCTCATAGGCCCCCTGTGACCATCCCCATCACATCTGCAGGGCAAGCCTGCCCCGTGGGTCAGGCCAGGGCCCAGGTCCGCCCTGGAGTCCAGCTAGCACCAGGCCTGTCCTGGTGGTGGGAGGGGATGGGGCCCCCAAGGAGAGGCCGGGCAGTCCGGAGAGCCCCAGCCGCTCCGTGGAGTGGAATGAGAAGGGGAGGGAATTCCCTGGCTGTTAGGACACCTGGCTTTTCCCGGAACGCGGCTCCGGGCCTTCTGGGGTCCCAGCCCTCTCCCCGGCGCTGAGCCCCGGCTGGGCCTGGGTGGGCCCTGCATCCTCGTTCTTTTCCAGGTGTCCATGCTGAAGGGGCAGCTGCAGCAGGAGCTTCGAAGGCGCTCGGCCTCCTTCTCCCCACCCTCTGGGCCCCCGGAGAACTGAGCACCTCTCTGCCAGCATCCTGGCAACGGGGCCTGGGGCTGGGCCGGGCTGGAGGGGCACCCTCAGCAGGGTTCAGGGGGCCTGGGCCGGAGCTCGCAGGGGTGCAGGGTGGGGTGCCAGGGCCAGGATGGGGCTCCAGCCTGTCAGAGCCACCCCTTGGGGGCCCCCTCAGCCCGTTCCCGGGAGGGCCCCCTGAGGGCCGGGCTGGAGAGACCCGTCTCCGCTGACCCTGGGCGCAGGTGCGCTGGCCGTGAGGGTCGCGCCTGGGGAAGTCTGTCCGTCTAAGTTCAGTGTTTGTCAGCAAGCTCCTCAGAGTTCAGAGTCGCTGTATTTTTATGCCTTTTTACAATGGTAACTGTTCAAGACTGTTGTGTTCTTTGTAACAAGCCCATTTTTTTAAAGAATGCTTTGTACAGATGTGTCCTTTTGCTGCTAATATGCCTCCTGGGAGATGGGGAGACTGGGGGACCCTGCGGCCAGAGGGTCGGGGTCCCCTAGTGAGGGGCGCGCAGGGGTGCGGGGGAGACTCCAGGAAGGCCCGTGCGGAAAGGTGTGGGGCCGCACAGGGCGGCGGGTGCAGAGGCCGCCAGGGCCCCGGGCCGTGCACCCATTCAACAGACGGAGCCGTTGAGGCTTGGGGCTGGGCCCAGCTCTGCTCTTCCCAGCTGAAGCTTTCTGCCCCTTTCTCTGGCTCCTCCTCAGGACAGGGTGCAGCCCCCAAGCACCAGCAGGGCTTCCAGGCGGCGCAGTAAGAAGGGCAGGCCTGGGCGTGGACCTGCGTCTGGCCTGGCCCTGCTGGGTGACCCAGGCACAGCTGCTTAAGCTGCCAGCCTCGGTGTGCTATCAGGAAGGTGGGGACCTGCCTCCCAGGCCGGCGACGGGGGGGCACACACAGCAGGTGCTCAGTCCGTGCTTCCAAGAAGTGCCTCTCAGCCCCCGGAGCCCAGCGGCATCAGGGTCTGCCCTGCCACTGACCACTGTGGGCCCGAGGGGTGGGGAGTTACGGACTGACTCTCAGCTTGGTTTCCTGTCTGTAAGATGGGATATTACCCATGCCCGCCACACAGGCTAAAGGCTTAAAGAGGACTGTGTGCTGACCCTCAGACGGAGGGAGCCTGGTCTCCCCGTGCTTGTCGGAGGATGCTGTTCAAATGGCCAGACTGCTTCTGCCCTCTGAAATGCACCAGGCCTCCCTCCCCGCAAACGCCCTTGATGCCAGAGCCCACGACCCAACCCTGTAGCACCCTCAGGTGCCCGCACAGGCGGCCTCCACCCTGCCGGAGCCCTTCCCAGTGACGGGGGCCTCAGACCCCCCCCAGTCCTGACGGTGAGGAGGCTGTGTTCCTGAAACTTCCATTTCTGATACAGCCTCCTGCGGCGCACACAGAGCCCAGGGGCGGGGCGGTTGTCAGGGCCCACCTTTCTGGGCAGAGCTGAGCTGAGGCAGCCGCGAGAGGCAGGGCTGGCACTGCGGAGGCCGCGGCCAGAAACGGCCCTTCCCCAGGGGGGCTGGGCGGCCTTGGGGAGGACACGCAGGGTTGGAGGTCCGCGGCCATCTCCTCTGCACTCCCCACCGAAAAAGGGACTCTGCGTCTTTCGTAAAAACCTGTTTTTAATTTTGTATAAAACAAAGGTGGTCTATGCCCAGGGGCTGTGGGAGATTCAAGCAGACCAGCTGGGGTGGGGGGTCACCTCCTACCTTGGGGGTGAGGGATGGTCCTGGGGTGGGGGACAAGGGACACACGTCAGGGGCCCAGGTCCCACAGGGCGCCCGGGATGTCCCCCACCCAGGGGCAGAGACTGGCCCTTCGGGAGCCCCCTTGTGGCCCCGGGGGGGTGGCCCCAGGCAAGGGGAGCCGCCGCGGCAAGCCCCAGGCCCGCAGCCCTCTAACAGGACAAGAGGAACTTCAGACGGGAGGAAAGCACCAGGTCAGGCAGAGCCTGGGGGCCCCGGGTCGGCAGGGGGCCAGCTCCCCCTAGCAGCCCCCGCAGCTCCGGGCACAGGCGGCCGCCACAGACTGGCACAGGCCACTGCTGGCCAGCACGCCACACTTGGAGAACTTGTCACGGCACAGGTCAGCTGTCAGGAGGGTGGGAAGGGGCTGGGGTCAGCACAGGGCCAGGTGAGGGAACTGCCACGCGCCCCAGCCTGGGTGACCGGGTTGTCTGAGGATGAGACGGGCCGGGAGGGGAGCCCGGCTCGGACCCGCGATGGATAAACGTCAGGCGGGGGCTGGGGCCAGGGGAGGGGCGGGGTGGGGACTGCCTACCCCGCAGGAGCTCCTCGTGGGCGCACACTGTCCGGACGCAGATCTCCTTGTTGACGACATACACGCGGCGGAGGCTGAGGGGATGGGCCGGGAGGGCTCAGCCCGGGGAGAGGACCCCACGCCCACCCCCGGCTGGGGGCTCACTTCAGGATCACTGCCTGTCCCCACCCCACGGGGCTGGCTGGAGCTCCCGCCCCCTCACCTGTAGAAGCAGACCTCATTCAGACACTGCTTGCAGGGCTTGTGTATGGAGTAGAGGCGGGTACACGGGTACTGCTCCTCGCGGCAGTCTGGGTGACACGTGGGGTCAGCGCGCTGCAGTTCGGGGCTCAGAGCTGGGGGCCACCCCCAACCGCACCCCAGGGGCCTGGCTCTCGGGGCCAAGAACCCCTGCACCCTCAGGCCCAGCCTAGACACACGAACACACACACTTACAAAGACACACATGCCAATGCACACACACAGCACTGCCGGACCTTCCAGGCTGCCCAATTTTGTCCAACACTTTTATACACACGTAAACTCACAACTGCACCAAGAGGCCTCTATCCAAACAGACTGAAGTTCAAACACAAACCTACAGCCACACACAGGCCCGGAAACGCACAGCAGCCTAACAGGCGGGCCATCACACGGGACGGGTCCCCTACACACAGGCCAGCGGGCTCTTGGAGGGGGCGGCCCCAAAGAGCTGGGCTTCTTGCCTCTGAGCACCACTCGCCGGGGGGACTTCCTGCCAGCCGCTCCCCTCCCTTTGTCTAGAGGCTCCTCCCGAGGCCACAGCCAGTCCAGCCCCCTGCCCAGCACAGGGCAGAGGGGTCTCCTGGAGCTGCCAGGGGCCCTGCTGACCTCAAGCAGGGGCACCTCTACAAGGCCCCCAGCCCACCACCTACCCCAGCAAGAGCGAGAGGCCTGGCTGTGTCCGACCTCCCGGGCCCCCCACCCCCTAACTCCCGGGGCCCCTCTCACTCCCAGGGCCCCCTCTGTCTCCGACCTCCCGGGACCCCTCCCACCCCCTAACTCCCGGGGCCCCTCTAACTTCCGGGGCCCCCCCTGTCTCCGACCTCCCGGGCCCTCCACCCCCTAACTCCCGGGGCCCCCCTAACTCCCAGGACCCCCCCGTCTCCGACCTCCCGGGCCCTCCACCCCCTAACTCCCGGGCCACCCCGGCTCCGACCTCCTGGCCCCCCTAGCTCCCGGGGCCCCCTAACTCCCAGACCCTGCCCCGTCTCTCTTACCGAGAGGCCCTGGCTCCGTGGGCTCCGTCTCCACAGTCCCCGGTTCTGGAGTCGGGGGAGAGGCAGGCAGCGGCCATTGGGACAGATGGCCCCGGGCAGGCTGGGGTCGCCCCTCCAGCCCTGGGCAGCCCTCCCCGCCCCCAGGGCTGGCGGGAGCGGGCGGCCTACCTACGGTGGGGGCCGGGACGACTTCGTGCTGGACTTGCTGCTGGGACTGGAACTGGAGCTGCTCCTCGGGTGGCCGGGGCGTCATCTCTGCCAGGGGAGGCGGCAAGGGGTCTGCTCCCTGCCCCAGCTCCAGCAGGCCTCCTCGGACTCCCCACCCCACTGCCTGTCCGTGCCATCCTACCCTCAGCCCTTTACCTGGATAATCATAGTAGTCCGGATTGTCTGGAAATAAAGATGTGGAATTGGTGGGGGTCAGCCTAGCCCCCAGGCACAGGGCAGCCAGGGCCCACCGCCCCACCTGACCCCCAGCCGAGCCACGCCAATCTAAGGAGTGGGCTGGGGGGGCCTGGGGGCAGGCGGCAGGCTTACCGATCTGGTCGCTGTAGTGGGTGTACTGCACGTGGTCTGGGTACGGAGGCAGTGGGTCCAGATCATACTGGCCCTGAGCCAGCAGGCCTGCTATGGGGAGAGAGAGCTAAGTGGGTGTCCGGCAGGGAGGGGCAGAGGGGCCCGGAAGACCCCCGAGGAAGGCAGAAGCCCCTCAGGTAGGCCTGCGAGATCCCCGGCAGACTCAGACTCACAGGACGCAAGCGGCTTCCTTGCCCACAAGGGCCCTTACACACCCAGCCCTTGGCTGCCCCCAGACCCGCTCCCCCAGGCTGGCTCTCGCTCGCTCCTGCCTGCCCCAGGGCCTTTGCACTGGACTCTCCCTGGCCCTGACAGCCTGTTAGCTTCTCCTCCTGCGAGTCTCTACTGAAGCTTCTGCTCTGCTCGGGGGCTTCCCAGGTGGCCCAGTGGCAAAGAATCCACCTGCCAATGCCGGGGACTGGGGTTCGATCCCTGAGTGGGGAAGATCCCCTGGAGATGGAAACGAACAACACCCACGCCAGTGTTCTGCACTGGAAAATCCCACAGACAGAGGAAACTGGGGGGCTATAGTCCATGGGGCCACCAGGAGCGGGACAGGAGAGTGATAGGGACAGGGGATTGCCCTGGCGGTACAGCGGCTGAGATTCTGTGCTCCCGGCATGGGGCCCGAGTTCAATCCCTGGTCAGGGAACAGGAGCCCACATGCCTCAACTAAGGCCACTGCAAAAGATCCCACGGGCCACAACGAAGCCTGAGGTTCCCACGTGCTGTAAGACGCGGCACAGCCAAAGAAATTAATATTGAAAAACAAGAGAAGCCTTCGCTGGCCTACCCACCCACACCATCGCATCTTCCTGTTTATTTCCATCACAGCACTCAACACAACTTGGTGTTTATCACCTCGCCCTTCTCTAGACCGGCAGGGCAACACCACGCAAGGCAGGCATTTGCCCGCTGGATCACTGTGCCGCCAGGGCCTATCCCAGTGCCTGGCACAGAGGGGGAGCTCCACAGATATCTGTTAAATGAACGAATGTCAGACCTGGCAGGCCCTTTGGGGTCCCCACTGACAACTCTTTCATGTGACGACCTGGGACCTCTCCCAGGTCAGGACTGTAGCTGAGTTGGCCCCAAAGGAGTGCGAATCCCAGGCCTTCGGCCCCCTTTCAGGGGCCTCCATTCCTGCACAGCGGCTCCCGGGAGGACCAGTCAGTAAGTGGAGAAGCGCGGACCCTGGTGCCTGGGCCTAGCCTGCTGCTGCAGAGGGTTGGGAGGCGCCCAGAGATGCCTCCAGACTTTGTGGGAGGGGGAGATGTTGGCCAGTCCAGCCTGTGGTCCAAGAGGTAGGAGGCCCTGGGGTTCGGGAAACTGAGTTCTGGCCGCAGGACAAGACCTGGAGGCCAGCTCCCTGTCTGCACCCACGCGGGAGCCCCAATAGCCCAGGTGCCGCTTACCAGGCAGGATGAGCAGGAAGAGGGAGGCAGCTCTCATGGCTCTCAGTGAGCGGGCCGCGCCGGTGTCCGGGGACAGCTGGAGAAAGAGGAGGGGCGAGCTGCTCCCCAGGCCAACACCCCAGGGCAGCAGGGCCACTTCTGCTCCTGGAATTCAGCCTGGAGAAAGGGGGCCCGGAACAGAGGCCAGGCAGACGGAGGGTCACGGAGAGCGGGCCTCGGGGGCGGTGACCTGTCCCTGAGAGCCCACTGGGCGTTCGGCACCAGAGGGGCTCCAGAGCTCCAGAGCTGATCCTGACAGAAGACCCTACACTGCCCGCCCACGCTCCACGGGCATTTCTAATCCCTGGCCCTGCGCTCCCTGCCACACAGATGCCCACCCTCTGCTCAGCACTTCTCCAGGAATCTAGTGCCCAGACCACGACCCCAGGCCCATCCTTGAGACCCCAGTCCTGCCCAACCAACATCACAGCCCAGACTCAGCAGTCGGCCAGGCCAGACCCGCACCTGCTCCCAATTAGCCCGGGGCCCAGGCCTCCTGCTCAGCAGGAAACCACATGACCCCAGGCCCGCGGGACGGCCAGGCCAGGCTGGGCCGGGCTCCCGCCCCGAAGACGCCTCTCCCGCCAGGCCTCCCAGGACCCGGCTGACTCCATCACACGCTCACGGGACTGAGGGCTATTTGTCTGCTGGGCAGGAAGCACTCAGGGCGGGGTCTGGAAAGCGTCTCTCCCGAGCCTGGAGGGCAGCACTCAAGGGACTGCGGTCCCAGGGGCTCTGGACCGCATGAACGGTATGAGCTGCTAGTGTAGTTATGGGGGGAGGGGGCAGGCTCTTGAAGCTGGAGAAGCCCTAGGGTGAGCCCCGTCTCCGGTCTGGCCCCACGGCAGACTTGGCAGAGTCGGCAGGTCCTCACGGCCAGCCCCAGCTCAGTGGGGGACAGCCTCCAGACCGTCCGCCTTCGGGCGGCGGGGTGGGGGGGGGCTGGGAGAGAGTCCTGGGCTCACCCACGGGGGGCCCGCCCTCCCACAACACAAGAAGTACTTCCAGACGGTTAACTGGAAACCTGCCTGTCTGCCCCTGCCCCCTCCAGGCCGTGGGGACTCACAGGAGAGGGGCGACGGGGGCAGAGACATGGTACCTCTCCTTTTGTAAGCCCCCCCACCGCTCCACCACCTGGCACCTCTCCTTCTGTGACCCCGTCACTGCACACATTCCTCCTCTCACTCCCCTCTCAAGCCTTACTGAGGAGGGAAGGGGAGGGGACGGGGTGGGGAAGGTGAGGCCTTTGACCCAGCTGCCCCGCAGGCTGGGTGTTCACTCTGAAAACTCTCGGCCTCCTCCTCGCCGGGAACCCAAGGCCTGGAGCTCCCCCAAGTCCTTCCAGTCCCCCATCTGGCTCCCAGGCTGGTTGGCGCTGTCACCACTCGAAGACCCCACTTGGGAGGTGGTTGGTGGGGTGGGTTGGGGTTCTGTCTGTTCCCAGAGCCCCTCCTAAGCCTCGAAGCCCCCCGCACGGGGCGCCCAGGCTCGCTGGGGGAAGGGGCCCCGGGCCAGGCCGTCTGGAGGAGAGTCCGCGCGGAGGAAGGGGCCCCTCCAGGAGACGCGTCTGCAAGCGCGTCCAGACGGCGGGAGATCGGGCGGGGAGGGGGGCCGAACCTGCGGGGCCGGGGGAGGCCCAGCGGGCCGGGGACGCACCCCGGGGGCCCGGCCTGCCCTGCCCTTTGTCTCCGTCCCCACCGCCCCGCGGACACCCCCGCCGGCCGCCACCCCTCTCCTCCGGGGAGACAAAAGCCGCCCCTCCCGAGGACCCAGGCTTCCCGGCGCTCTCCTACGTCTGCTTAGACGGCCCCGGGGCCCGGGCCCCTCAGCCCCTGGGGGCCCGCCGACGTCGGAGCCCGGGCCCCGCGCCGCCCGCCCGTGGCCCCTACCCCGGCCCGCGCCCCCTGCCCGGCCCGAGCCTACCTGCGGGTCCCTGCGCGCCGCTCCGAGTCCGCGCGCCGCCGAGCCGCCCCTCCGCCCCCCGCTCCGGGCCCCCGACGGGGCGGGCGCCGCCCTCCCGCCCGGATCCGCTGGGTCCTAACGCGAGCGCCGCCGGCCGCCGTGCTCCGGCGGGCCGGGGGCACGGGGTCGGCCTCGCGTCCTCTCGGAAGTTCGCACCGCGCAGGAAGCGCCCCCGTCCTGTCCCCATCCCGCCTGGCCCGCTGTCAACGCGGTGAGGCCGGCGTACAGCCTCCGCCGGACACAGGACGGAGCCAGGCTCCCGAAGGGGATCGCGCGCCCTGCGCTCCGCTCCAGCTTCTCCCGGCTTCCAGGACGCCCTCCCGGGCCTCCTTCGTCTCCCCAGGCAGCTCGCGGCCGCAGCGGGCTTCCATAACCAGCGTTTCTCTGGACCCACCGGCCACAGGCTACGGGGCCTGGCCCCACCATGTCCCCAGGACCCCAAACTCAGCGAGGATTCAAGTCCAGAATCACAGCCTTCTGACCTGCCCCGGCCCCGGAAGGTGTTCTCTTCAGGGAGTGAGCCCACCACCCTTCCCTCACACAGCTAACTCCCCACCCGCAGCCCGCTGAGCCCCCACTTCTCATCCTGAGTCCCGGATACCTGCCATCTAGGCATGCCCACGTGGCACTAGTGGTAAAGAACCTGTCTGCCAAAGCAGGAGACACTGGTTCCATCCCTGGGTCCGTAAGATCCCCAGAGGAAGAAATGGCAACCCACTCCCGCATCCTTGCCTGGAGAATCCCATGGACAGAGGAGCCTGGCGGGCTGCAGTCCCCGGGGTCACAGAGAGTCGGATGCGACTGAGCCACTACGCAGCAGTGGTAGGCCTTCCCGAACAGGCCCGCCCTCACCCACTCACGGCGGACAGGGTGGGCGAGGGGAGGCTTCTACCCGAAGCCTTTCACGGGTGTCCCGAGGTACCTGGAAACAAGGCTGAGCTCCCCCGGAGACCCCAAGGACCCAACCTTCACCGCAGCCGGGCTCTGCCTTCCCATCCCTCTGCCTGGCCTCCCAACAGCCTCAGTGGCTTTTTGGCTGTTTCTCATCAAACCCCTTCCTCTACCTGCTACAGGGCCTTTGCTCAAGCTGTGTCTCCCTCCTGCAACACCGATGAGTCCCTCTCCCTTCAGATGACAGATCAAACCCTCCCATCCTGAGCAGAGGCACCCCCTCCCCCCGTTCCCAGCCAGGGCCCGGTGGCTCCTCTCCCCCGAGCCTGTCCACCCCGTGGAGACCGGGACAAGCTCGGCTTCAGCCCATCCTCCGTTTTGCTCACTCAGCACAGAGCCAGGCTCAGAGCAGCTGTTCAGTAAACATGTGTGGAATGAATAAACTAACACACAGTGGATTCTCCTGGGAGACGAGCCAGGTGTGGGGGTTGAGGTCTCCTGCCTCTGGGGCCGTCCTTCCTGGGCACAGGGGTCTAGGCCTGGCAGGGCACTCGGGCTGGGAGGGGGACTGAGACGCCCTCAGGCCCCCTTGCCTCGCCTCAGGCCACTTGTGCCTTAGACTCTGAGTCCTATCAGGCAGGACTGAACACGGTCCAGGGGTTATTTGCTCCCCAGTGCTGGCTTGTCAAATGAATGGGTGGATGAATAACTACCTGCCCCCCACCCGCTGCTGGGAGAAGAGTGGGGGGTTTTGTCACTGGGAGTGCTTGGGGCCCAGGGGCCCGCCCAGCCCCCCCGCCCTCCCTAAGCGCCCCCTGCCCTGCCTAAGTGCCCCCCGCCCTCTCTAAGCGGCCCCCACCCTCCCTAAGCCCCCCCGCCCTCCCTAAGCGCCCCCCGCCCTCCCTAAGTGCCCCCCGCCCTCTCTCAGCGGCCCCCACCCTCCCTAAGCCCCCCCGCCCTCTCTAAGCGGCCCCCTGCCCTCCCTAAGCGCCCCCCCTGCCCGCCCAGCCCCTCCGCCCTCCCTAAGCGCCCCCCGCCCTCCCTAAGCGCCCCCCGCCCTCCCTAAGCGCCCCTGCCCGCCCAGCCCCCCTGCTGCCAGGCGCAGGCCCAGTAGGGTTTGAGAAGGAACCCCTGGCTGGTGGCTCAGTGGGTGAAGCATCTTGCTGCAGGGCAGGAGCCCCGGGTTCCATTCCTGGGTGGGCAAGATCCCTGGAGAAGGAAATGGCAACCCACTGCAGTGTTCTTGCCTGGAGAATCCCATGGACAGGGGAGCCTGGCGGGCTACAGTCCACGGGGTCCCAAGAGTCGGACACGACTTAGTGGCTAAACCACCACCACGCTTGACAAAGGGGGACACTGAGCCCCAAGCTACTGCCTCTGGATGTTGACCCCCAGACCCTCCACTTCTTCCACACGCCTTTGTCTTAGGGACGCGCACACAGGTGTCAGCTCATTCTGGGTGGGGTAGCAGGTAGGGCACTCTTGTCCCCATCTCCTCGGAGAGCTGCCCCTTCCCTGCCTGCCTCTGACACCACGTCTTACGAGCTGCACCCAGGCAGAGGTCTTGTCTTTGTTCGCTGCTGTAGCACTGTACCTGACACGTGACTGCCCAGCGCAGGCAGGAGTGACCAGTTAGGGGCAGAAGGGACTCACGCCCAGGCCTGGAGGTATCCTCCAGCCCCCCGAGCAGCATCTGCCTCCCGAACTGCCGCTGAGACTCAGAGTCCAGCGGAGGGTCTGTGGATGCCCCTGGTGTCACAGTGGATGCCCCTCCACACCGCACGTCCTGGTCCTGTTTGAGCCAACATTCACTGAGCTCCCATGAGGGCAAGCTGGGGAGAGGGGGACGGCGGCTTCCAGGAATGAGGCTGAGGAGGGGCTTTTCTTTCCTGTCGCCCCCACCCAGCACAGATGACCGGATGACCGGCCGCATCTCTACAGCGGGGCTCGGCCAAGGCCCCACTGCTGGGATGACGTCAGGAGCACCCACTCTCCCCTGGGGGACAGTGTACATGGTTCTAGCTGAGCCTGAATCTTCATGTGAGGGAGGGACTGGACCACAAACACAGCCCAGGATGTGGCGGCTGGGAAAGCAGGGAGCTGCCCCCGTTAACGCCTCGTAGGTGCTGGCGCTTGTCTGAGACATCCTGTTCTCTCTTGCCTCCACAGGAGGGTAGAAAGGTTAAGAGTTTAGACTCTGGGGTCAAAGTGACCTGGTCCCAGCTCTGACTATCTGCTGCACTACCTCTAAGCCTCAGGTTCCGTATCTGTAAAAGGGGGACTGGGAACTCCCCAGTGGTCCAGTGGTTAAGACTTTGTGATTCCACTGCTGTGGGCCCAGGGTTTGATCCCTGGCTGGAAAACTAAAATGCTGCAAACCGTGTGGCATGACCAAAAATGAAACCTGAAAGAAGAAGGGGAGGAACGGTATTCCACAGTCCTAAGGATTAAACGACGATACGTAAAAACGCTGAATAGAGCACTGCGCGTGCACGTGAGCTGCAAATATTACTGTCAGAAGAGGACACGGACGTGCAGAAAGGGGCGCTTCACCATCATCTGAAAAATTCAGGGGATGCCAGGAGCAGACACATGAGGGGGTACCCAGGTCTGTGGTGTCAGGCAGGAGACAGGCACGGCCAGGAAAATAGGACGACTTTATTTGCTACGTTGACAGCGGCTCTGCCTGGGGCGGTGGCTGTCGTCTACATGGAATGTCCGGAGTGGGGGACGCGGATAGCTAGCGTCTCCCCGGGGGAGGCGGGAAGGCGTGGGCTCGGGGCTGTGGAGGGGGATGGCGGAGGGGCTCTGGGGTCCAGTCGAGGCTCAGAGGCAGCAGGCCAGTGTGCAGGGCGCGGGCCGGCGGACGGTGCTACCTCATGGGCGCGGCGGGCAGCGGCCACGGCCGCTCCGCCAGCTCCCGCTCCAGCTGCTTGAAGTGCTTCTTGGAAGCCCGTTTGGGCCGGAGCCGCCGCAGGCAGCCCGGGAGGTACTGGTCCAGCAGGCTCTGTGGGGACAGGTCGGTGCGAGGGGCGGCTGAGGCCGAGGTCCCCCCCACCCCCAGGGCCCCCCAATCCCAGCCCGGGGCGGGGCCCACCTCCAGCATGAAGGCCGCCACGACGTTGAAGGCGACCAATCCCAGCAGCAGCAGCTTGAAGCGGGTGCTGGTGATGCTCTTCAGTGCCAGCGGCCCCCGCAGGGGCCCCGGGGCCAGCACGAGGCCCACCAGGACGGAGCCCAAGAGCACCAGGGCCGCCAGGAAGGGCACTGCGGGGGACGGAGCCCGTCAGGTCAGGGAGCTCCGCGGGCACCAGCCCTCCAGCCCGTCGTGCAGAGCGCCGCCCCCGTCCAGCACGTCCCCCCATCCAGTGCATCCCCCACGTCCAGTGCGTCCCCCCACCGTCCAATGCATCCCCCCTCATCCAGCGTGCCCCCGCCATCCACGCGTCCCTCCTTGTCCAGCACGTTCCCGCCCCCCAGCGCGTCCCCCCTTGTCCAGCGTGTCCCCGCCGTCCAGCACACCCCCCTCGTCCAGAGGATCCCCTCCTCGTCCAGCCTGTCCCCGCCGTCCAGCGCACCCCCCCTCATCCAGCACATCCCCCTTCCGCCTTCATCCAGCACGTCCCTGCCCAGCGCGTGCCCCAGCGCAGCAGCACCGTTGGTGTACAGAGGCCGGCGGAAGGGCGCCCCCTTGGACACGGCGGCGGCCAGGATGAGGTACTGGAAGCTGGACAGGGAGAAGACCACCGTGTTCTCGTAGTTGGGCAGGTTGTCTGGTGCAGGCACGGTCCCGTTCAGGGGCACGAACCTGGGGGCACAGTGCCCGGGGTGAGGGAGCGCGGGGAGGGGGACGGGCCACAAGGGGGACGCGGACCGGCTCCCACTACTCACCAGGGCTGGGCTGCGGCCAGGAAGTAGCCCCCCAGCTGCACACCAGCTACCAAGGCCACCTGCAGCAGCAGGCTGCCGAGCACCAGCCCGCTCAGCAGGGACCCAGGCGGCCGCACCCGCCCCAGAGCCTGCGCCGGCCCTGTGCGGCTCATGAGCACGGCCACCGTGGTGGTGATGACCAGGTCCACGGCCAGGAACTGCAGGTCGCCCAGGTTGGTGTTGACCTGCCGGCGAGGAGGAGGCAGGACAGCTCCCAGTCTGCTGGGAGGACCCACCCTGTCTTGAAAAGCTCTGCTGGGGGAGGCGTTCTGGCGCCCTGCCTCTCCGGAGCCCCTTGCGGGTCTGGGGAAGGCGTGCCCGCTGATCTGGGCGGCCTCCGTCTGATGGGAGCACCCAGCCTGAAGGTGGTCCTGGAAGACTCAGAGCTCCCACCCTCCCAAGGCTGTGGGTGGACACGAGGTAGAAGCCAGCGCAAGGCCTCCGCTGCCCGTGGCGTCACCTGCTTCTGCGGGGTGCTCAGTGTGTGCTCCCAGCAGAGAGGGGACCATGCCCACTGGCAGGATGCTGGGGGCACAGCTGAGGTCCGGGTCAGGGCACGTGGGGAAAGGTTGCTCCATGGGAGAGAGGCCGCCGCCTCCTTCACCCCAGCCCAGGCTCTGCCTTAGTCTCCCTGCAGGTGGAACCTCCCGGGGAGTGGGGGGTGGGTAACGTGAGCCCAGGACAGCTGCTCTGGTTTCTGAGGACCTACTGTGCACCAGGGGCTCAGCGCTTTCACCATCTCAGACAACCCTCGCCTCTGAGACCCACGGTGCCCACGCCATGTGGCTAGAGCAGGATCTGCGGCCACAGTGACTATTCCAGAATCTGCTGGCTCCTCACGCCCCGGCTGAGGGCCCAGGAGACGCTCACCGTGTAGAGGATCAGCACAGAGATGAACTGGGTCAGGCTGTACAGGGCCATGTACTTGAAGACGCTGAACGACGTGTCCAGGGAACAACGGCCTTCCCTGGGGAGCGGGCATGGGTGTGGGGGGGGGGATCCAGACCCCGCCCAGCACCCCCCCGGCCCCTGCCGGCACCCGGGCTGCCTTACCTGATGACCATGGGCACACACTCGATGCTGGCCACACTCGAGGTGAAGGGCGAGACCACCGAGGCCTCGGCCTGAGAGAGCGAGATGCCCACGTCCGCCGCCTTCAGCGCCCCACAATCATTGGCACCATCCCCGCACATGCCCACACAGTACCTGGTGGGACCAGAGGGTGGGTGGCCCAGCTCACCCGCCAGCTCTGGGCCCACAGGGGCCTCCGTGGCTGGGACACGACCCCCCGCCCCGGGGCCTGCAGGCAGAGCAGGGGGCTGGCTGCACCCCCCGCCCGCAGGGTGCCTGGGAAATGCTCAGGAATGGAGCGCTGTGTGCCCCAGCGAACAGGTGCAGTTACAGTGTCTGCGGGGCCTGAGTTCACGGATGCAGAGGGCGGATAGTACTAGGCCATTTTACGAAAGGGTCTTGAGCACCTGTGCGTTTCGGTACTGCAGGGACTCTTAGAATCCGTCCCCCACAGATACCAAGGGCTGGGGTGCCTGTTAGCAGGATGGACCCAGGGCCCGCAGGCCAGCTGCCCCCTTCGGCCCACCCGCAAGCACTCACTGGAGCTTCTGCAGTTCACACACCAGCTCTGTCTTCTGCTCGGGTGCCATGCGGGCAAAGACGGTGCCCTGGACCAACACCTGGGGGCGCAGGGAGGTGGGAGAGGCTGAGGCAGCCCAAGGAGGCAGCTGAGCAGGCGGGGGGTGGGGTGGCCGGGGGACCCCGGGGCGGCCCTACCTTGGGCAGCAGCTTGGGGAAGTGCTTCACAAGGACACCGAAGCTGGACCCGCTCAGGGCCAGGTGGCTGGACCGGGGGTCTGGCTCCATGGTGTAGCTGGCGGCCTGGTCAGGATCCTGGGGGCCCGGGAAGCTCAGCTCAGTGCCCCCTGCCCCCTTGAGAGCTAGGGCCTGGAGCAGGTGACACAGGGGTGGGGGCGTGGGGGGCTGTGGCTGGAACTCGGGGTCAGCCTCACCTGGGCCCCGTTCGTGGCTGCGAAGGACTCCACTGGCTGGAGCTCAAGGGAGGCAGGCTGGCCCCGCTCGGGGGGCGCGGCATGGACGATAACCAGGTGCTCCCGGGGGCCCACCATGCCGCAGCCCTGGGCCACGGTGACTGCCGTCTGCAGGTTGTCCCCTGGGGGTATGGGGCAGGGTCAGGGTCCGGCTGCCGTTGGGGGGCCATCCTAACCCTGACGAGTGTATAGCTGGGAAAACAGGCTGGGCGGACTCCGTCCACTAGGACTGGCTGAGCGAGCTCAGGCGGGGTGCCAAGGTCTCTGAACCTGGGTCCCCTCAGCCTTAAACCTGTGCCAAAGGGCCTAGGAGAGGGCTTCCTGGTGGTCCAGTGGCTAAGAATCTGCCTCCCAAAGCAGGGTCACGGGTTTGACCCTTTGTCTGGGAAGGTTCCACGCGCCATGGGGCAACCGAGCCCGTGTGCCGCAACCACAGAAGCCCACGTCCTGAGGCCTGCGAGCTGCGACCACTGAGCCCAGCGCCGCCACCACTGAGGCGCAGGCTCCCGGAGCGTGTGCTCCGCAGAGGAGCCACAGGAGCCCGTGCACCGCAGCCAGAGCCGCCCTGCTCGCTGCAGCCAGAGACAGCCTGACACAGACCCAGAAACGACGCGCAGCCAGGATGTGGGCCAGCAGACGTTCAGGGTGGTCTCAGGGGAAAGCGGGGGCGTGGGTTCCAGTTCCACGCGTACTATTTAATGCTGTGGGGTCTGCTGGGAAGAATGTGTGTATGGAGGGGCGGGAGCGCGAGGGAAAGGACACAGACCTATTGAGCCCTTCCATGTGTCTGTGTGTGTACGTGTGTGTGTGTGTGTGTGTGTGTGGAGGGGCGGGAGCACGAGGGAAAGGACATGAACCTGTTGAGCCCTTCTGTGTGTCTGTGTGTGTACGTGTGTGTGTATGTGTGTGTGTGTACGTGTGTGTGTACGTGGGTGTGTAC